GAGACGATCGCATGCGAGAACGCGTCCAAATCGGAGGAATACCGCCGTAGAACTGATGACACATACGACCCGTATGCCCGTCTTTTGTAGCGCGCCGAGCATAAAGAGAGTGAAGCGAGAGAAAATACAAAATTCATTATTTTATTTTTAAATGTCCGCTCTGTCGCTGTCTCTCTCACTCGCTCTTTCTCCATTGTTTACCCGTCTTCTTGGCAGATTGATTTATGGATTTAAATGCAACAGGTGCCAGTGCACCCAAGAGGCACTCGGAAATGGACGTAAGTCCAGCGAAAGACTTTTGAGCACACACCCACTATTCCTATTTTTGAAACTGATTGGAGCACAAAGCTGGTTGCAATTTGCATAATGCTATCATTAGGCACTGCACAATAAATTATGATAATTCTGGTTTGACGTAATGGAAATAATTAGCCAAGTACTAGACCCATTGTAAAAATAGTAGTAGCTCGTTTAATCCAGTAATGCTGCCTACAAATAGCTTAAGAAGATCATAAAGAATAGTCTGACCTGACCATGGCCTGTCAACATTAGAAATTAATGCTTTTATAAGGAAGAAAGCAGGTTAAGTTACTCTTAAGAAAATCATTATATTATGTATTTAGTCCTTGATTAATTACCATTGCTTTTCGTGCTAATGTTTAATTTAATTTATTGTGTCTCTCATTAACGCATGCAACTTAAATTCAATCCTATCTATTATAATAATTTCGCAAAAGTCAACATAATTTGTTTAATTTTACCGCCAAAAGAAAATAATTGCATGTATAGGGGCGACACCTGGCGAGACTATATTTCCTAGCAAATGTGGCGGCGCCACTGTATAAGTTTCGATATATGTTAACAAAAAAAAAAATTTAATAAATAGAAAATAATATAAGAATTTTATATTATATTATATAGGAAAGTTTTTGGGCTTTTTCGAAGCATGTGTTTTTTAACATTTACATATTTTGTATTAATCCACATGCGATACTTTTCACAAATATCGATAAAAGTATCCGCTGATCAGGGGTCTCAACTTTTTGGGATTTTTTAGGGGAAAGCCAAATTGGCATCTGGCAACACTAACCTCGAGTGTGCACTTTTTTTGTGCATTTTTTATTAAAAATAAGCAACGACGTGTGGCAACGAATAACGAAACAGCAACGAAATGGCAACGCGCGGCGGTCCAATGGTGACGGGCACCGACGGCAACGACTTCGAGTTCAGGCAGCGCGTGGCTGGCACATATCAAATTAGGTTATTATTGGGGCGAACACACTCCGAGCTTTCCTCCGCAGCTGTCTCCCACACAGCCGAAATTATCTAATTACTTAAGTGCCTGCGGCAGTAGCTCAATAGTTGGCACGTCGGCTGAGCGGTCTTCTGGCAGGAGGAGCCTTCCTCTCCGCCTGGAGGTCCGGCGAGGCGAAGACCGCCTCCACCCACTTGCAGCTGGGCAAACTGCCAGCTGGGCAGGTGGCAACCTAACGACCTGGCGCCTCAGTAATGGGTTTTGTTTGGGAGCACAGACGACAGAGTCTTCTCGTTTCGATGCAATACTAATATGCTTTTGTCTTGCAGCCTGCTGAACAAATCACGATTGAAGTACTGCATTTTCTTTCACGCCCTGCTCTTCTTCGTGATGCTGGCCAAGCTTACGTCGGACATTCTGGACCGGCTGGACATCTTTGTGTTGGAGATCGAGGAACTAGAGGTGCCGCCGCCGCTGTGGTGGGAGTATGTGTGGGCCGCCTCCCTGCTCACCTCGTTCCTGGGCCTGTCGGCCGCCCGCGGCAACAAGGTGCGCGAGATGCAAAAGTACATGATCGCCATCCTGGTGTTCGCCGTCCTGCCGCTCTTCTACTGCTTTGCCTACTACTTTTCGGACGTTTGGGAGTTTGCCACGCTAGACAAGTCCGTGGAGCTGGACGAGACGGACATTTTCGTGTGGCGCGTACGTAGATATGATAAACTAAATTAGCCCCTTATATTTAAAATGTTGTATAATTTTCCATTACAGGGCTACCCCTACGGCGTGTTTTGGTACGCCTTCTGCTTTGTCGGCTTCCAGGTGCACGGATTTACGCTGTATTTCGCATACAACCTGGTCAAGGCCTGGAAGGCCAGAACTGCCACGCGCAAGTTCCAGTAAAGTCGGATCCGAGAGGAGCCGAGCAAAGTCTAAATACTCGCCAAACTAGCAAACGTCAGAGAGCAGGGAGCAGGCAGTAGCTAAAGAGCTGTAGGGCTATATGTAAATAATTTGGAAAACTTGAAACTAACTCGAAACAATAGTGCACAAAAGCGTAATGAAACTATGGTAAAATTAAAGTTATGCAGCTGTTAAGGTATCGCACATTTTAGTCATACAGGAAGGGAGAGCACACTTAAACGAAGCGTCAGCGTTAAAGTTATTGTTAGTTGAAAGTTAAACCGTTCAAAATGATTAAACAGACTCTTATCCATATACACCTATATACATAATACATATGTACACACACACGCAGCCTTGAGAGGTCAACTAAAGACAGGAAAGCAACTGAAGCCACCAAATTCCCAGAGTCGGAAGAAAAACTAAAAACCACAACCTAGAGATCCACTTCATTTTTGCTTACTTACATTTCGACGTGCCTCGTGTTTGTTAGAAACGTTTTATATATACATTTACACATGGAATATATACATACAACTGTCTATGTTTATGTCCGCGGATGAGTACTTCCTCGCCTAGTTCTTAATTAGTTCTCTTTTCTACATATTTCGAAATCGTTTCATTTTATATAATTTTCTATTCCTTTTAAATTTTGAATTTGTTTTAAAACTATTAGCACAGTTCCAACATACTGTGCGTCGTCTGTCGAAAGTTCAAGAAACTGCCCCAAACTATTTACAAATTTCTATCACTGTTTATACACATAATGATAAAGGAAAATTCAAATGCAATTTGAGTGTTAAAGCAAAGTTCATACAATTTCTGATCGTCAATAATATATTGTGTAATGACAAGTAAGTCGCAGAACTAAACAGAGAATTGAATTTTAATGTAATAATGTTTTTTTAATCGTAATTTATTATTCGACTTTTTAAGTAGTTTTTTTAAAAATCGATCAATAAAGATGCATAAATATTTGTTCTTCTGAGTGGGTTAAAAGGCGTGTATTATTTTATTTGTAATATATTAAATAATTATTAATCTTTCTATTTAAAAATCGATCAAAACTTTAAAATGCCAAGCAATCCTAAGACGATTTTATAAATAGCAAGGTTCCTGAGCTTTTCTTTTGGGAATAAAAATAAAACACCACCAATGGCCGACCATCCCTGCACCCAGCTGGCTTCTTGGTGGTCGTTGCAAGGCTCAACGGCTGTTGGCCACAACAATCGGGCCTTTTTAGTGACCATTTGTGCATCGGCGCGAGTGGTGGAGCAACAGCACCAGCCTGGACGTCCTTGCTGCAGTCGAAAATTGCGCAATTGTTTACAATTATTGGAAGAGAGAGCAGCAGTTCGAAGAGAGGAAAGCTGCGGAAGAGAGTGAAAGCTTTTTCGCAGCATCCTTCCCTCTTTCACTATCTCTCCTTCAATCTCCATTTTGACGTTGCCTGTGTGAAGAACAGATGCAACATTTTTTCAAACACAACTTTTTCGGACTAAAGTAAACAACAAAAGTCACCAAAATAAACAAAATTCTCAATAAAAATTATTAAAAACTCTAAAAGCGTTGGAGCAACAGGATGCGGGGCGAGGAGACGACATACAGGCGCACGACGCGCGAGAAGATTGTGCTGCGAGGGAACACAACCATACGCACCGTGGACTCCACTTCCACATACCTGCCCGTGATGAGTTCAGCGGGGTGAGTTACGCCAAGGGATGGCCAGGGGCAGGGGCGGCAAAGGGTATAGCAATTAGAGGCATAAGGCGTGCCGGGCCACTTGAGCGTTCCATGACTGTTGTCGTGGCGGTGAAATCGATTTTTATCTCGGGATGTGCAGCTGATTTTCAGATACAGACGTATCTATTATAGACGACCTTCGGATGTGGCTTTCCTCTGGCTTTTCGACTTTGCTCTTGGCGTTGACAAATCTCTCCAAGCACCCGGACTGCGCTGCTCTCCAAAGTATGCTATGCTTAATGGGGCCCGCGATTGCAGGCCAACTCGAGTGCCGGCTTTCTCCTCCGCATGCAAGCTTGCCATTAAATTACATAGCCGGCAAATTATTAAGAACCTAGTGCCACTCGAGGGGGTAAATACACGGTCCTGCATAAGTGTGTGTTCCGCCTTGCTTTACCCAGAAATCGATGGAATCTTCTGCTAGGTGCTAGCGTGCATTGACCATAGGACCGGTACGGTCCGCCAGGCTTGTTGAAAAGGAAGTATATGCGTAAATCGAAACTTGTATATCCTTTCCCGTTTAAAAAATGCACTTTATAACTACTTAAAGGATCAAGATTTGGCACTAAACAAATTACAAATCGGATGGAAAACTAGTTTTAAGTTATAAACAATGCATTAAATGGTGCACAAAAGACATTTTTTAACTTTCAGTTCTACGGACAGGAAGTAACTAATATAAGTTTTTACCATAAATCTATAAATAGCCTTAAGAATTAATATAGAAAAATCTTAGTAATCATAGCATTTTCCCCACAAAATAGTCAATCTGCTCCTTAGAGCTGCTTCCTCTTAGTTATGGTACCCTTTCCTTGGGAATAACCATGATTGAAACCGCCCCCAAGCAGTGCCCAGGCGAAACTTCCTTTAACCTCAATTCGCATTCACACGGACGACGCACACTAGTCGACTAGGAAAACTACCCGGCTGAGAATGTATGTGCGGAGTGAACTGGTCAGCTTTGTTGTGGACACAAAGCGTCGTCGTCGTCGGCGCCGTCGTCCAGTCAAGCGGTCAGTTGGTCTGCAACCCTTGAGTCGTCAGGTGGACGCTCGTCGTCTCCTCTCGGGTCACCTATTCAAGCCTCTACTGGAGGCCAGCAATCGAAGTGTCCGGGCGGGGACTGTCAGGGAGCCAAGTTTCCGCTCTCAAACCGAATTGCGTGTTGTTTTTAAATTTTAAGTGAAGTGTTGTGTGTCTGTCTCGTCGTTTTCTGTCTTCATTGTGATGTTCAACACCAGTGCCCAGAATTGGTTTGGCATGGGCCAGACATCGGGGGCTCCGGCCGGCGGTGTTGCCCAGTTGCTCAACAACAACAACTCGGGTGTGTACCAGTCCCAGCAGACGGCACCGCATCCCTTTATGCGCCAGCGATCGCTGACCAGTTCCAATCCCGCCCTGGAGCGCTCCACTGCGATGGCCCTAAGGCCACAGTCGCCGCCGAATGTTCAGGTGGAGTACGAAGTGGCGGTGCCCTTTGTCTCCACATATCGACACACTCCATATCACTCGCTATGGGATCTGCACCAGTGGTAAGAGCTACTGGGGATATCCTTAATTTAAATGAGTTTCATACATGTCTTGGGATTATCTTTTAGATTTTATAAATAAAATATATGGTAGAGATTGCAAGTAAACTAGATTTAAACCATCTTAGTTAAAATTATAAAAATTACATGAGGTTTAATGAAATATTTTGGATTAGTTCAGTCCACTCATGATAGCTAAGTTTCCTGGCCTAACAAGTAATCCTGGAGACTTCATAGGTTTGTGGGAACTTAAAATGACTTTCTGCTTTACATAGAACACAAAGAGCTTCCGAGTAAAGTGACCCTCCTTGACCCCTTCCAGTTCCCACGTGGAAAACGTATTTCTGCCAGTCATAATTGCCATTTGCTGTAATTTGCATAGGGAAAAACGTTGTTTTTTGTCTTTTGCAATGGCTTTATCGAGTGGAAATTAGCATAAACACCTCTTGGTGACACGAATTTTAAAGAGACCATCATAACTAATCGTCCAAGGATACCGACCACTTCTCAACCTGGTGGTTTTCCACGCTTTTCCGGCCTTGTAACACTTTGCCAATCAATCAATGGCTCAATTAAAATGCATGTAATGCCTAGATTAGGCCCATCGATACTACTTGAACCAAGTATATAGAACAAACCCTAGATGGCCTAGTTAGTCGCTTGGATAATCAGGGGCTCGCTAGCCGCTTCGCTCCCCTCAGGAATCAGAAAGCAGAAAACAGAGCAGAGAAATCGTGGGCGAGCACATAGGAAACATTAACCTAAATTCGAACGAGCATGGCGCACAATATAAATACAAAGCGGATGTGGCAGGAGTCAGGCAATATGGCCGGGAATTATGGCCTACTGCTGCTGCCAACTTAATTAGCCTGGCGTACAAAATATTGCGGCATACTTCTCAGATCGAGATTTACAATGCTTCGACCGGAAAAGCCTGTAAAGGCTTTAATGTTGCCGGATGACGCATGCAAAAGCCAAAAAAAAAAGAAAAACAATTCGAATGCGAATACCAAAGTTAACAATTGTCGCCGCCGGCACGTCAATAACCTGGCCGAAAGCCCGCAAGTTTATTGACCCTATCTACCTGCTAACTGAATAACCGGCCCCCTTGGGAGGCACCACGAACTCTTTTATTTCCTAGAAATTCCCGAGCATTGTCAGTGGGAATGGAGGGGTAACGGAAGGACCCCGGCTAGGGCTAGCTAAAGCTAATATTAGACGGCTAGACACACGAGGAATCCAACCCATACACATGTGCACACACCAGGACACGCAAAGTACTTGTCCGCGGCTGATAAAGCAAATGACCTTTGCGACATGGCCAAGTTGAATGGCAAACGCCATGGAGCAGACAAAACAGTTATGGATAGTAAGCAAAAAGTTTTCAAAATGAGATATTAATTATCATGAGTTATGTGGCTTTAAAAAAAAAATATATTGCTTAATATTATAATCAGAAGGACAGGCATCCTGATCGGAGAATCTATGGAGCTAACTATCTATAAATGTAGCTTTAACTTTTTTTGTTCTCCAAGGATATGGAGCTAAATAATATTTAAAGGTTTCTATTCTATATATCTCATTTTTTAACTCTTCCAGCTCATCTACACCCCCCACAAGCCTTTCGCACATGGCCCGGATGATGGACTCCCTGATCCTGGACTCACTGTCGCCATTTGGCTTTACCAAGATCACGGCCACCAGTCGACCCTCTCGAAATGCCAACGGCATGAAAAAACCTTCCGCTGATGGTGTCCTCTCCTCGCCCGCGGATCGTCAGAACCGACCGATTAACAATCTCGGCGCTAATGCTCCTGGAGGATTGGGCATCGGCGGAAGTGTTCCACTGCGCAGCAAGCAGCGGCTGCCCACTCAAGGTTCGTGATCCACAGCTATTAGGGTCTATTATATAACCATTAATAAAACGTAGTCTCTGCCGCAGAAGTAGCCCCACAACCGCGTCCAAGCCAGACGGCCCAGATGCCGTTCCCCTCGCAGCAACAGGACAATCGGTGGGTATCCTCCCTGAGGCGTCGCGATCCCGAGCTCCAGCCCACACTGCCCTCCATCAGCAGTAATGCAAACAGCAGCAGCCTTAGCCAGAGTCATCATGGTAGTGCCGGAAATGTGGGTCTGGCGGGCGGTGGGGGACCAATTCCCACTACCAGTGTGGGAAATATGAGGCTGGGAAGACCAGGAAGGGCATCCGCCTTGACTGCCGCTGTAAGGAAGAGTCGATCCGTGGAGCGAATGCGGGCAAGAAAACTGAGCACCAACACCCAGCTAACCCTGAAGCACAAGCCGGTTAAGAAGAACTCACTCGATGAGAACTCCAACTCGGATGACCAGGATGCCACCACATCTCTGGAGGATAACTCGCAGGCCCAGTCCCTGTCTACCAGTCACAATACGCCCAAGTGCTCGCCGAAGACCAAGGTCAAGCACTTCTCTCCCCTCGGCTACGAGGGTCACTTGGTGGACACTCTCGAGAAGGACATTTTGCAGAGGCATCCGTGCATCAAATGGACGGATGTGGCTGGGCTCAACGAGGCCAAGACAATACTCCAGGTGTGCTTCGTATTCAGGCAGGATCAGAATGAATCTTCGATACTAAATTATTTAATTATTTGAACAGGAAGCAGTGGTGCTTCCGGTCATAATGCCGGAATTCTTTAAGGGAATCCGGCGGCCGTGGCGAGGAGTGCTGATGGTGGGTCCACCGGGAACCGGAAAGACCATGCTGGCCAAGGCTGTGGCCACCGAGTGTGGCACTACCTTCTTCAACGTGTCGTCCTCGACGCTAACATCCAAGTACCGGGGCGAGAGCGAGAAGCTGGTGCGTCTGCTTTTCGAGATGGCTCGCTTCTATGCCCCCAGCACGATCTTCATTGACGAGATCGATGCTCTGTGTGCCTCCAGGGGTAGCGATTCGGAGCATGAGGCCAGTCGTCGGTTTAAGGCTGAGCTGCTCATCCAAATGGACGGACTCAATGCGAGCATGCAGGAGGAGAAGGTGATTATGGTGCTGGCAGCCACCAATCATCCGTGGGACATTGACGAGGCGTTCCGCAGACGCTTTGAAAAGCGGATTTACATACCATTGCCGAACGGTGAGTTAAATTACCTAAAAATCCAAACTTATTTCCATTGATTTCCTATTATTTCTCAGAGGACACCCGTTCGGCCCTGCTCAAGCTCTGCCTTAAGGATGTCTGCCTGTCGCCCAACTTGAACACCGGACTGATTGGCGATGAGCTCCAGGGGTACTCCGGATCGGACATCAGCAACGTTTGCCGTGACGCCTCCATGATGGCCATGCGCCGCCTTATCTCGGGCCGCACTCCAGATCAAATCAAGCAGATCCGGCGCGAGGAGGTGGACCTGCCCATCACACTGCAGGACTTTCAGGATGCAAGGCAGCGCACCAAGAAGTCCGTGTCCGCGGACGATGTGGCCCGCTTCGAGAAGTGGATGGAGGAGTACGGGTCCTGCTAGTTGTACGGGCTGCTGGCCCAGCACCCACGATGATTGTATCCCTTGCGTACTTCCAAGCCTCAATTGCAATACTTTTCAATCTGTAAAAATCGTACTCGTTAGTCGTAAAAAGTAAAGTTTTTGTTTTATATACGCTTTTTTGCTCAAGTGCCCCACGCCCAGCATTGCCCCTCTATATATGCGCACACGGTAATCTGAAATCTTACAAATACATGATATATACACCGGAGATATATGTAATTTTTAATATTTATTCGACAAAATCCTATTGTAGGCTTATAGCAATATAATGTATTTTGTAATCAACATATTTAGAAAACGGAAAACGAAATAAATTACTCATCAACACCCCTTGGATCCGATCCGCAGACAGAGCTTACAAGGCTCTTAGTTTGGCAATGGTTTTCTGGTAGTCCTGCTCGACCACAGTGTACTCCTCCTGCAGCTGATCCATGCGCTGCTTTACCGTAGGCAGGCGGGCCCTTATCATTTCCGTGTCCATCTTGAGACGCTCCATTTTCTGTAGATCCTTCATCTGCTTGTAGTGGACGGCATTCAACCTTTTCTTGACCTCGAGCCGGTAGGCCTTGTACTCCTTTTCCTCATTGATATTGGTGTAGAACAGACGCAGCAGCTCGTATACCTTCCGCACCTGGTGGGGATTCAGCTTCAGGGTTTCGCGAGCCTCCCGCACCATCTCCTTGTTAAATCCCTTGACGATCTCCGCGCGGGCGAACGACTTCAGTTCCTTGCAGAAACGAGCGTCCACAAAGTTGCGCAACCGTTGAAAATCCTCTGACGGATCCTCCACTGTGATATCGATTACATTCTTTTGCGCCTGGTAGAACTTGTAAATGCTCTCCACCATCTGGGTGGCGAGTCCAAGCTTCTGGAAGGGTGGCAATATAAGCATCTGACTAATCCTCGGCCGCTTGTTTTCCGGATAGGCATAGTACTCGTATACAGTGGTATAGCCAGCAGTGGCGTATTGCCACTGGCCATCGCTGTTCTTGTACTTCTCATAGCTGAAAGAAACAACTGTTTGGAAAGTGCTCCTTCATATTGAAAGGGCATGACTTACCACAAAAAGTAACACCACTGTGGGTCATCGGTGTCGATGTACGAGGCGGCGTCCACGAACCACAATATGAAGGTCTGCAGCCGTCCAAAGAACTTGAGGAATGAAGAGCTCTTGTAGTCGCACTGGTAGATTTCAAAAAGCCGTTCGGTTCCATCGTCGGACACCTGGGTATATTCGCCTATCTTCTCGCCAAAGGGTTGAAACTTGTCCGCCTTGTCTAGCGTCTTTAGAAACTCATCCAAGTTGATGAAGTAACAGCCGTCGGGCAGACTCTGTGCAATAGTGCTGACCACGTCGTCGGCCTTGATCTCGCCGCCAGAGATTTCGTTCACCCGGTTACTGTACTCAATGCCCAGGTAAATGTGCAAGGGCCCAGCCGTGTAAAGCACCCGTACATGCAAGTCCTCGTAGCCGAAAATCGTCTCGGACTCGCCGAAGATCTGGTGGGCCATGGCGGGGTGAAAGGTGAGGGCGTCGTTGTTTATGTCGCCTTTCTCTCGAACTGAAAACGGGCGCATTGCAGGGCAGTACTAAAGCTAATGGCAGGCCACTTACTCAGCTTAAAATCCACAACTTCGAGGGCATCGAGCACCAAGGACTGGTATTCCTGAATCTGGGCCATATTGTGAGTCTCGTTTTGGCGCGCAAAATGTGCTTGTAGTTGGAGTGACACAGCAGCACAATTGATTGATACTTTTTGGTTGTGACCCTTGGATAAAACTTAATACACTTATTGTTTTTTAAATCAATTCCAGGGCACGCTTGGTACAAATTAAGTCGACTCTTAAAGGTGTTTAGCAAAATTTACGCGGCTAAACAAAGACCGAAGCCGACAGTGTTGGAGAAGTTATGCAGTCGCCCAGTGTTGACTAACTACGGTTAGCAGATGTACTATCGCATATGGACATTGAACCGATTCTATGGAAAATAATTTGTTTTTTAAATATGAATATAATGAATATACGTATTTATTACGTAATAATAGTTCAAAAACTTACAACTATTATGCGTTATTTATTTGAATTTTAATTTAATCAATGCTTATCAACCCTGATCACTACATAACCGTTGATTATTTCCTTTAGGAGTTTAGCTTTGTTTTCTTTTTTTTAATCTTTTGAATTCTAGTTTGTTCTAAATGTGTCACTACTATCACCAGTTCCCTTTACGCTTTTTTATTTTCATTTCAAAATCAACCCGTCTGTCAGCCGCTGCCCAACACTTGAAAAGTCGCGCAGCCAACTTAACACAGCATTTGTAAGCAGAATTTGTGCAGAGACATTATAATTACAAAAAAAGCCGCTTTTTGATTAAACAGCGCAAAGCATAGCTAACGGTGAACCAACCAGGTTGCCAACCAGTTGCAGTTACAGCTTTTTCCCCAGAGCAAACACCCCTGAGTAGATTCTTCGGCAGGACAAGGGCAAGCGGTGAGTACGGAAAACTGCCTAGTCATAGCGGCAAAAACAGAGGTAACCCGCATTGGATTCTCGCCCGTAGAGCACAATGGATACGTATTTGTTCGATGGCGGCCGCATCACCAAGATGGAGGTGGACTACGAGCCTGCATGTAACGAGAAAATCCCTCTGGCCAAGGAGCTGGCGAAAAAGAACCCCGACGCCTTCCACGAAGCCATCGAGATGATGCTGCAACTGGAGAAACAAACCCGCCTGGGCGCCGACATGGTCTCCTGCTCGCGCGTCCTTGTGGCCATCTGCCAGATCTGCTTTGATGCTGGTAACTGGAACGCTCTCAACGAGTATGTGTCCTTATTGGTGCGCCGGCGCTCCCAGCTGAAGCAGGCTGTGGTAAAGATGATCCAGGAGTGCTACACCTACGTGGACAAGACGCCCGATAAGGAGACCAAGTTGAAGCTTATCGACACCCTGCGCTCGGTTACCGAGGGCAAGATCTACGTGGAGATTGAGCGTGCTCGACTCACAAAGATTCTGGCTGACATCAAGGAGGCCGATGGCGACGTTGCCGCAGCGGCCACTGTCATGGAGGAGCTGCAAGTGGAGACATACGGCTCGATGGACAAGCGCGAGAAGGTCGAGCTCATTCTGGAACAAATGCGCCTCTGCCTGCTCAAGGAGGACTACGTATCTACGCAGATCATCGCCAAGAAGATCAGCATCAAGTTCTTCGACGATCCGGCACAGCATGATCTCAAGCTTAAGTTCTACAACCTGATGATCCAGTTAAACAGGGACACGTCCTTCCTGAAGACTTCGCGTCATTACCAGGCCATTGCTGAGCCGCCGCGCAAGAAGACTGGCCTCACACCCGCTGACTCATCCACGTCTGCAGACGAGCCGAAGAAGAAAGACGAAGAGAAGAAGAAAAAGGAGGAGGACGACAAGGACAAAAAGGCAGAGGTATCCGCGGAGCCTGAGCCGGAGATCGAGCTGACCGAGGCGCAGAAGAAGGAGCTGACGGAAAAACTGGTCTGTGCCGTTCTCTACTGTGTTTTGGCTCCGTTCGACAACGAACAGAGCGATATGATGGCTCATCTGTCTAAAAACAAGAAGCTGGAAGATGTGCCAGCCTACAAGTACGTACTGCAAATCATTATTTTAATTCCAAACTGCAATGACGTTTCATTTACAGAGAAATTCTGCGCTTGTTTATGTCCAAGGAGCTCATCAATTTCGACACATTCAATGGAGATTTTGGCCAGGTGCTGGCCGAGAATGATATGTTCAAGGACAGCACCAAGCACGGCAAGAAGTGCATCACCGAGCTTAAGGATCGTCTGATAGAGCATGTAGGTCCACAGTTGTGAGGTGCTTTGGTTTTCAATGCTAATTTATGACTTGTGCTTACAGAACATTCGCATCATCGCTATGTACTACTCCCGACTGCATTTAACGCGCATGAGCGAGTTGCTGAACCTGCCTCCGAACCGTTGCGAGGAGTACCTGTCCAAGCTGGCCAACAGCGACACCATCCGCGTGAAGATTGACCGCCCGGCCGGCATTATTTACTTCACTCAGAAGAAGACCGCCTCCGACATCCTGAACAACTGGGCCACTGATGTGAACCAACTGATGTCCCTGGTAAACAAGACCTGTCATCTGATCAACAAGGAGGAGTGCGTTTATTCGGTCATGTGCGCTGTCGAGGATTAGTCTGCTTGTTAGAATTCAGTGTGTTTTTCTTTCGGAAACTCCTGCCCATATACAACTGTAACTGTAGTAACCACCCAACCATCAGCATTTCGATTCTCTTTGCAAAGTTTGTATTCATTGAATGAACTACAATAATTAAAACCAACCCTCTAAATATTCATTCTAATTTCGCGCTATGTTTTTGCCAGTCACAGGGAGGAACAAGTCTTGAGTCGTTTTTCAACACTAGAATGTGGGTGGGTGATGCGCGGGCTTACACAGTGGCGTTGGCTTAGAGGGCTGTCATTTCTAAATATTAAATATTTAAAAAAAAAATTGAATTTCTTTGATATGTATTTATCGTATATCATTTAATAATATTGCTGAAAAAGTGGACAATATATTTCTCACCCTGCCTAGAACTTACCTGAGGAACCCCCCAATCAACTTCTTTGTCTGCGCCCCTGAGCGGTTGCCATTCTGTTCAATTGTACCATACTGCACACAATATCGTGAAATTGTTTATATTTTAAAATCGCAGAATGCCCAAAGAGGATTGTAAATACTGGGACAAATGCTATCAGCGTAATCCCGCACACCTTTCCAAGTTCAATCATCCAGAGAAGACGGAGGAAAAAGACAAAGACAAAAAAGTGGCGCCAAAAAGAAGTGCATCCGCGCAACCAGAGGAAAAAGCTAACCCCAACGAAAGCAGCTCTAGTACGGAGAGCGGTAATATGGAGGATCAGCAGGAGCAGGCCAGGGGCAGCTACGAAACAGAAACGGCGGAGCTGCAAAAGGAGGCCCTGAGCAATATTTCTGGCAAGAACTATATGGAGATTCTGGAGAAGCGGATCCGGTTATCCGTGCAGCAGGAGTACGACAACCTCTGTGAGACCAACGAGTTCATCAGGCACAAATTTCTGGTCGAAATGCCACCGGATTTCTACGAGTTCTGGAAATTTGTGGGAACTCTGAAAACCGATACCTCAAAACCCAAGACTGCCGGTCTGGAGCATCTCGATAAAGTATTCCAACTGCAGTTGGTGGGTCCCTTTGAGTTCCTCGCTGGAAAATTTCACGGAGCCAAAATGGGGGAACCGGGCGATTACCTCCGCCACTGGCGCTTCTACTACGACCCGCCGGAGTTCCAGACGATCTTTGTGCGCCGGGGCACTGGGATTCACTATGGCTATTGGCGCGACGTGCCGCAGGACAAGGAGAACCTCTTAATCGCCCGCAACGACTCCGCCAAGGGCTGCGAATTCGAGTTTGTGGCTGGAAACATTTTCGATGCGTTCCTCTACTTTCTGGAGCATGATTTTTTGGGTACTCCGTTCACCACCGGACAGTTAAGTGGGGCCAAAAAGGCGGTGCCGAAGTACTTGAGCGACCATTCCCTGGAACTACCACAGCTGGACCGATTGCAGCGGGAACGCAACAAGCGGGTGGTAGCCAAGACGTTCCACCGTGCCGGAATTGTGGTGCCCTTCGATCGGAAGACGCAGGTGGGCTACCGTGCGCTCGCCGTCAGTGATGCCGAGCTCAAGAAGATGCTGGCCCTACTGGAGCACAAGGATATTGATGGTCAAGCCGCCAAACAGGCAGTTTTGGAGAAGCTGCAGCCGGTGGCTAATGCCGCCATCATTGCCGTCGATGAATCCGACTTTGGCAGTGCTTTGGAGCTAGGTACCGACCTGTTCAGCAGCGGCCACAAGGAGCTGCACATGTTGGCGTCCTCTCTGCTGGTGCCCGCCTATTCTATGTTATCCCGCCCGCAGTTTATCGCCATAGCCAAGGCGCACATGGAGCAGCGTAGCCGGGAGGTGAACCTTTGCATGTTTGAAGTACTAAAGTAATTCGATTTTTTATTCCGCAACCTTTTTATGAATGAATTAAAACTAGAAAACACCAGCCAAAAGTCAATTTTTACATGTACAGATAGGAGCTCTCCTTGCGCGGTGGGATATAGCTGGAATTGCAGGTCACGCCCACAGATTTCAGCAGCTTCAGTACTGGTTGGGCAGCTGTAGAGTCGAGGGGCAACTTGTCGGTGTAGATGACAAAGGAGCTTACCGGCAACTCTTCCTGATCGCGCCAACTGGCAACTATAATAAAGGTAAGAAAGTGAGATAAAAGGTAGCTATCCGGAATCCAGGACAACTTACTGCCCGCCGCTACTCCGGCAATGAAATTGGGAGCTTCCAGTTCAGTAATATCCTTCTGGTTGACCCCCACACCACGAACTATGGCTACGTGATCACTGTAGAACTGGATTTCCTCGCTTTTGAACTCAACCTTTGGCTTCAACGTGAGGGTGACCACGTTCTTTGCCAGCTTTGCGTAGGGCAGTAGAAGCTCCGTGACTTCGCCACTGCTGGACAAGTCATCCTCCAGGATGGCCAGCAACTGTTTGGAGGAGGCATTCCAGTGGAGGGACGAAGTCTTAGCTGGGATGCTGCAGAGACGTTTCGAGTCCTTTGCCAGCACAGTGGTGGCAAAGTGTGTGACATGGGGTCCTTCAATGACCACCAGAAGATCGCTCGCCACCGGGGCTACATCTCCAGCCGATTCGACATCAAATTTCAGCTGCAGCCTGCGAATTTCACGGATTAATACAACGTAAACACAGCAAAAGTAACTCACTTCTCAGCCGGCTTCATGTTCTCGAACTCATCCTCCTCGCAGTCGTCCCAAAAGGCGCGGGACGACGGGATATTAAGTTCGCCAAATCCGGGACAACTCATTGTGTATACAGGGAAGTTAATTTATGTACGAAACGAATTCGGTGAGCTTAATTCCGGTCAGTGTTTTGTTCAAGTCATCAGTGTGACCATGTGCTGAACGCCAAAATTTCTACTAGACCGGCTTAAATTATAAATTGGGACTGGTTGCACTAGTTATAAATGATTTAAAAAATAATTGTTATTGTGCAGGGTTTTATAATTTTAGTCGGAAGTTTGCAATGCAGAGAATGATAACGTTCTAACCTTATAAAGTATATATATTGTTGATCAGCATCAATAGCAGAGTCGATTTAGCCATGCCCGTCTCTCCGTTTTGAAGCTGAGTCAAACTTTGCAGATAGAACAAATATTTTAGCTTCGCTGATTTTGAAAATTTTTTAATATGCTTTGAGATATGGTCATTTTGTATTATTTCAGAATTTCGGATTTAATTTTAATTTCTTTGATATTTAAAGACGCGAGCCTGGTGTAAGCCCTACATTTTCGGCGATGAGAACGGTCCAAATATGGTATTTTCCCGTAAATACCGACTTGCTGTTTAAATACCAATGCACTGCTTCAGAGAACCTGCGCTCAAGTCACGGTAACACTGAAAACAAAAAATGCAAGATGCAGGCGTAAATTCGAATTGGAAAAAACAATTTGATCGCGTTTAAGACACCGCTTAAAACCCTCTTTCGGGCGATAAGGACTCGGCCCGCAGTGCGCGACAATTGTGCCCAAGTTCGGGAAGCTACAGCGGGCGAAAAAACCAGCGCCATGAGGAAGCGCAGCTCTCGCTGCAATTCAGACACTTTCAAGGAGCAGCAGATGGATCACAACGGTGACGACATTAGCCTGTTGCAGCGCCCACTGCGCACCGCCCACACGGGATTCGAGGAGGCGCGCCGCGCCTACGAGGATGGTACCAGCGAGGTAGGTTTCCTTTCCTCAAGTGGAGTACGTGACTCAGCTTAGGAGCGTAATGGCGGATTCTCCTTTGACTCAGGCTGGTGATTCCCCGGCTAATACGTCCTTTTCTCCGCAGGTGCGTCAACTACTCAGCCTCGAGTGCAGCCTGATCTACGAATGCAATGTGTGCCGGAACATGTTCCGCAGCCTGGCGAATTTCATCAGCCACAAGCGCGTCTTTTGCTGCGTCAGCGCTCGGTCCGCAAATGGCAATGGATACACAGTGAGTGGGCAGTAAAGACAACCTCATAACGTGACTTTAGCACGCAGGGATCTGTTAATCAGCATAAATACCCCCTTTTGCAGGATCAGAACTCTACAATGATTATACAAACTGGTGGTGGACCGTCGTCGCAGGACATCGAGCACATGCTGCGCAGCCGGAGCACGGGTTGCTCACCAGTGCCACGCGAAGCGCGTCCCATTCGTGGTGGCGGCGGCATGCGAGACCTGAGCGGCGTCATCGAACGCTTGAGACGCGAGAAGGCTCCGGCTCAGGCCAGGCGAAGCTCTCCCACGGTGCTACAACTGGAATCTGTGCCCACCTCCAGCCACGCCGTTTATCAGACTATTAAGGTGGACCAAGAGGACAGCATTCGGACGGAACTGGACGAGGTGCACCGCATGCTCAACCCAGCCGAAACAGTGGTCGGGCCAGATGGCAAGGCATTGACTACGATCAAGCTGGAGCGTCAGGCAGGCAGTGACTCTGGCGAGAACGGCGAGCAGTCCATCAGTGACGAAGCGGAGACAAGCATCTTTTGCGAGATTTGTACGGCAATGAATGGGAGTAGGCCTTGCAATCAATTAGTAACTTGTGGTTTTTCCATTCTCGTCAACAGGCAACCTAACGTTTCAGACGCACAAAACGCTCGAGTTGCACATCCAGAAGCATCACTCATCGTCGTCGTTTGTATTCCAGTGTCCCGCCTGTTCGTTAACCTTTCTGCAGGCCGCTGCAGTTATTCGTCATTTATCCAAGGACCACAAGTAGGTTTTGATTATTACCCAAGCTAATTAATGATTTTAAAAATGAAAACAATATTCTTGGGTGTTTAGAACCTCTCTAATAATTTAATTAAGTTTGTTTTAATATAGAGTTTATTATATTTTCAGGAAACCTACTCGACGTATTCGCATGATGCGGAATACTATCCTGAAGCGTCGCGTTCAGCAAGGAGATATTCAAACCAAGGGTCCCTGTCGTGAGCTGAAGCGTCTGCAGCTCTCTGATGATGTGGTTGGTTATGTGCCAGAGCCATTGAATGCCAGCGGAGAGCAGCGCAAGATAATGTCCTTGTGCATATACTGCGAAAAGTCCTTCGAAAGACGCGCAGCTCTGTCTACCCATTTGCTGAACTGTCGTGCCAAACAGGAGGCTTTGGCTAAACCTGCTCCTTCGGTCAAGAAGCTAAAGACGAAAAGCAACGATTCAAGTCTGGATGCAGCCGATGAGGATCCAACTGCCCCTACAGATTTGACGAAAAGTGAGCCTGCTGAAGAGAGTACACTGCACGAGATGTTTGCTGATCTGCCTGAGCCCAGTGACTCCTTTGGTCCTGGGCTGCACACAGTCTCGCTGGACAAGCTGCAGTTGGCCAATGAAAGCGATTCGGCCAGCGATGAGGCCTCCAACAGTGAGGATGAGCACGAACAGGAGCCTGAGCTTGAGCCTGGAGTTGCTCCGGATTCCAATGCCGATGCAGAGGATGTAAAGGGCAAGACCAAGAAGAAACGCAATGTCCCAGTGGAGAAGCAGCTGCGCTGCCGCTGCAAGATCTGTCACAAGCAGTTTAATGCCCTTGGAAACCTGCGTCGTCACATATCCATGTTTCACTACCGCGCCCGCCGCTTTGGGTGCAATCTGTGCGATTATCGCGCCTTTAGGCGCTACGATATTGTCAACCATCTGGGATTCACCCACAAGATCGAGGGAGATCGGGACCAGCTAACGGAGCAGTATGTTTCTACTCATGAATGCGAGTACTCTCGCGACGATGTGGATGCCGATATCATTCTGTTGGACAAGGAAGATGAGGCATCTGCGGTGGAAGCGGAGTCAAAGCCTCCAATAAAGACCTATGAGCGGCGCTTAAAGCGTGTCAAGGCCGAATCTGAATCTACGGGTGAAGTGAGACCCATATCCCCTACAGCTGAGATAAAGGAAGAGCCCGGCCTGGAATCCATGGAACCCATACCCGCGCCCACGCCCAGCAAAAAGCGTCGCAAGTCGCGCAATCAAATCTCACCCGATTCGGGCGATCACTCGCAGGAGAAGCGTCCTATTCGCAAACGGGTCAAGGCGGTCAACAAGGACTTTGTTTACGATCTGGTTGCCTTCAAGCAGGATGCTTCTGGCCAACAGACACCCGCAGTCCTGCCCGTGGATTCCATGCGGGCCAAGCTGCGGCGCCAGCCCACGGGTAGCAGTGATGAGAACAAGCCCAAACAGTGGGAGGCATATATAACGGAGGCCAAGAAGCCTCTAATACTGGGCATCACCCGCCGCATAATGCTGGACTTGGTGGGCCAGGGTCGAGCCGTATCGGCCACATTGCCTGAATTGCCATCGGAGCGGCCTCAGATACGGCCGCGCCTCATTTCGCACACACGCAGCGACAGTGGCCAGCAGCAGCAACATCCGAATGTGGTGGAAACCGCGCCGAACCCCGTCCCAGAAAATGAGAGTTTCATAGAAAAGATAGCCAAACGCACGGCGGCAGCTGGAAAGGATTCCGCTACCATTAGCAACCTTTGGAACAAGGTCAATATTGCGATAGCCCAGCAGCAGCAACAGGAACAGGATCAGCTGTTGAAAAAGGAACGGGAGCGTGAGCAACAAGCGCAGGAGAAAAAGCCGGAGGAGGAGGAGGAAACACCCCAAGTGGAGCAACCTAAAAGCCCCTTGTCCGAACCACTCTCTCCGCCCCGCATATGCGAAGCCTCCGTTCCCGAAACTCAAACAACAGCCGGCTTGGAGTGCCTTGGCGGTAAGAGCGGTATACCTGGAGCATCCACGATGTTCCCGGCACTTCCTAAGCCACCATCCGTTCTGCAGGCAGCCGCCAACGGGACCATCCAGCTAACCCTAGACAGTCTCCTGCGCGCTGCGTTGCAAAACTAAAAACACAGGCAAAACTGGAGGTCAGTTAAGATTTCTACTGGGCTTTTATGGGGGGAACTCTTGGCTGGTCGCTATTCCATTTACCGTTTTGAATGTAATTCACTAGTGTGTCCTTATTGTAAAACCAACTAAATAAGAAACCAAGCAGAATCAAACCAAGAATCCCTAGATGATAAATACGCTTTGAGTATTACGCGGTAAAAACAAAACAAACCAAAACGAATTCAAAAAATTTGTAGAATAATTTTCGGCTATTAGCAAATGTTTGTTGTTTGTGTGAATTGAAAAAAGTACAGATTTTTTAAAATGTTATAGTTAATACTATATATGTACCTAATTTTATAACCCCACAGAAAGTAAGTCAATACACGCAGAAGTGTAGAAGGTTGATGTGCAAATACACAGCAAATTGCAAGAACTTGAATTTGATTTTATATTTTTCGAGTTAAAAATCGATACTTCATTTGGCAATATCTAAAATTCAGCTGAGGAACCCTGAAAATAAAGTTTTTAAAATTTGGTTCTAGTCAATTTGCTGTCTACATGCACACGTTAAAGCCATGTTTATAAAATGTTAAATTGGCAAGTATTTTGCCAAAAAAAAAAAGAAAAATTCAACACTAAAAGAAGAAACTCACACGCAGACATTTAAAGAATCCCTGATCTACGCGAGTAGTTCAATGTATTTATATATCATTGTAATGTACAAGGTAGAGCCTTAAATCAAATCACCAAAAGATAATAAATCCTACGATAATCACCAACCAAAATGTTTAAATCGATTTGTATTTTATTTTTACTTTAAAATGTATCAAACATATTTATTTTTTCTTTTTTGTGATTGGAAGACAAAATACCGAGCTTAAAACTATATATAAAATATAAAATCGGAAATTAACACATTTTTATTACCACATTTTAAATAGTTTAAACTATTTTTATTTTCTCGAGCTCCAAAATGTATTGCCACTCCCTATCCGAATACCGTGTATTATTCATTCAACCTGATATGCTGTAAACGATGCCTTAAGCTTTAATAATGCAACGATTGCCAGGGTTCAGGCCTAATGAAAACTAATCGAAGACTCAGAATGCCTCATCTGCCGCATCCGTTATTCAGTTTGTTTGCTTATGGCCAAAGTTGCTGCTGCTGCAACATAAACATGTAAACCAAACCAAACCGAACCGAACCGAACCGGAAGGACCCTTTGGCCAAGTTGTTTGGGGTGAAATAGTTGGCCCGTGCCTGTGACTGGGTGAGGGAGACACCATTGATTTATTGCCTGCCATTTTGGGTGAGCCGACAGAGTAGGCTTGCTTTTTTAGAGATCTGCTATCTGCAGATAAGCCCCCAGATGACCCCCTTTGGGACCGGGCTAATTGGCGTTTTTCAATTGCCACACAGAATGCTGAAAGTAAGCATGGAGTGGTGGTGGAAGAGCTCTTGCACTTTGTGTTTCTGCTGGCCGACGGCAGACCCTTGGCTAATTTATTTCTTGAAGCATTTTGAAAAGTTTACGCCTCGCCAGCACATAGACCGCAAATTATTTAATTGCCATCTGGCCATGCCCCCTAAAAGGACGAATGCCTTTGCAGCGCTCAAGGACTTCGCCTCGATGCAATAATTTAAGTGCAAGCTAACCGCAACTTTCTGGCTGAAGCACGCACACAGACACCAAGAGGGGGATGCAGAATGGCCAGCGGCAGGAAGAAGTCATATTAAAAATGAACAAAGGCAAAATGTAAAAAATAGACGGGAGACGAGGGAGTTGCATCCTGTCTGAGTTCGTATTCCTGCTCCAATGCCCCAAAGCTCAGCACTCCGAAAAAGGAAAAAGAACTCAAACTCTGCGGCTTTTGGCCTTGCCCGACCGAAATGCACTTTAATAATGAAAGTTGCGAAATTTTGAAGAACATTGAAAACATTTCGGAATGCAAACCTAATTTCGGTTTTAAAAAACGCAAGTACTGGTCCGCCGGCGCAAAGTATTTCAATTTAAAATTCGTAACGAGCTTACGTGCCAGCAGCTGGCCATCATGGTCAGTTCTTGGACTTTTGTCCGGGAAACCAGCAACGACGACTCCAGTTGCGACCCGGTCGCATTTCAAATTAATGCAAAACCCAAAAGTGTGTGTCTCTGGCACAGTCCAAATTAAATGAAAAATGCCGCTTGGTGCTAGGGATGCGAGGATCAGAAAGTTAAGGAATCTATTTAAAATAAAATTATTTCAAAATTGTAAACAATTAATATTTTTTTAAATATATTTAATATTATTTATATTTATTTGAAACCAAGCTTTAAATAATTAAATAAGCTTAGCTTAGCACCGATTTCTTAGTTTAAATGCAGGCAAACCCAAAGTAATTAATGCAATTACATTATTATTCAAAACAAAGTGGCACATGACCATCATCCCAGGCATTTTCCTTTATTTCCTCTGCCCCAATTTCGCAGCTCTGGTGCATACGTTCATTGTCTTCTAAGCTCACCGAGATCCTTTGTCTTTCATTACTATAATTTCGCCTGCTCATCTCTAACTGAATAATGGCCAGGAGTAGGTCACAGTGTCGGGGAGATTACCTGCTTAAGACTCACTGCGGTTGTGCCAGGAAAATTGTGTAACTGCTTTAAATTTTTAATGCGTGTGTGTGTGTGCAGGTGCATCTGCAGCTTTTTGGGCTCCAGGATCTCCCGGGCTAAATCAAGAAGGTGCCCGCCGGGCTAGTAAAGCGTTTCATTGTGGCGTACATTTGTGCAGTTTTTGCGGCGGACAAATGGAAATTTCAAGCCTATTACATAAATGTTTAAATGGGCAAATGGGTTGGACGGCCGGAAAGTGTCTACTTGGCAAGTCCAGGAACAGGACCATGCCCAGACCCAAACCCAATCGCATCCCTTCAGTTCACTGAACGCTGCTGTACACACATTTTACTCCTGGGACCAACCCAACATACTAACTGTGGCATTAAGGCCCTGGACGCTGGCCATCTCCAAAAAACCGAATGGGGCCAGTTGAAAAGTGCAATTGGCAAACAGTTGAAACAGAAAAGTTGCAAAGGGAATGAAAGGGCAGGCGGAGGAAAGACATGGCAAGAAAGGCAAAGCCATAGAAAAGACGACTCTGGTAATTTGTTCTGAGCGGCTTTTGTTTTGTGCGCCATTTTCGTTCCATTTCGGCCAACTTTTGAGGTGGAAGCAGGCGGCAGGGCAGCATCCTTGCCTCCTTTTTCGCTTCGTTGACAGCGGACGGACTTCTGATTGAACGAGGATGTGTGCGAGGGCGCCAGCAAGTCGCAGCTCAACCTTTTCCCCCAGCTTTCGCTTTCCAATTGACCTTCTCTGACATTTTTCGCAATGCCCCGAAATTTATCACTTAATAAATTTCCCTTTCCCCCCAGCCTTCTATCTCTTCTAACTCTTTCTATCTAGTTTCCCACGAATGGTAATTGGAACTGCTGAAATCGAAACTGAACAAATTGCGGGTTGGATAAATGATAGCCTTGGCAAAAACAGTCTTCGGGGGACACTGATTATATTATCTCTAGGGGATTTAAATTGTGGGTGTGAAAATTGAAATTTTATTTCAGTATTTGAGATACTTTAGTGGGAGTATCTTTTGGAAAACAACTTTTTATGAAATTCAACTACGTTCTGTCACAGTGGGGCTTAAAAATGTTCGCTGTAACAGCAGGATTAATTACAATTTTTTTTAGTTAAATGAACAAATATTTAAACTACATTCTTGAGCTTTATTTCACAAAAGATGTTGTTTATGGGCTAAAAGGTGAAAACATAAAAAAATTGACGAAACGATAAGCTAAAAATATTAATCCAATGTTCAACAATATAAAATAAATAAGTAAAAATAACAAAATACAACATTTGCTTCAGGATAGTAAATAAATGCATTAGTAGTGAAATGTATTTAATCCTGCGTCCATTGCCAGATAATAAAGTTTATTGAATTTCGGTATTAAGCCTGATTTATATCCCAAATCGCAGCAGGCTTTATGACGCATAAATTCGGCAAGTGTTCAACAATTTCAATAAATTCGCCTTGATCTGCATAAGTGCAAAGCACTTTCCCAGGACCTCGGCTTTTTGTTAAATTGTATCAGTAAATGTCATAAATGGGAATCAAAGAGGCTGGCAAAATACGAGGCGCATATCAAAGGCGTATTAACGTTTTTACGCACTCGCTTTGCCCCGGTCCAAAAGTGACTTAAAAGCAACGGGAAGACAATCTCCCTGCTGGCGCTCCGCTGATTCCGCTCGCAAATCCTTTATCCTTTCGTGCAGACATAAACGTTTCGGGGCGAAATTTATGTAAAGGACTTATTCATAAAATTGCGCATCATTGAAGTTGCTGGAGTCAGATTTGCGTCAGCAGCGACATCATCAATACACTTCGACGGCCATTAAGTGCGGCAAGGGCAAAGTCTTTCGCCGAGCTCCTGCCGCTAAACGTTGCGCATACGCCATGTGTGACGCGGGCAAGTTAAGCGCGGCTATTAGAACAAATTGAATAATATCGAGCTCCAGCTCGTGGCAGCCGCTATCCGATATTTTATGCATTTGTTTGTGACTTTGAAGTGCTCGCCACGCGCCCTCAACACTTTTCCCATTTCGTTATTTTATTTCTCCCGCTCGTTTTATTTTTCCTTATATTTTTTTCTTTCCTTGGCTTGGCTTTTATCAGCACACGCACAGACCTTGACTGCGAGAAGTCGCCTAAATCTCGGCGATATATTTTACATCATTATAGCTGCTCCTCTTCCAGCCCGCCTGCCTCCCTCCGCGCCAGTTGCTGGTCTTGTTTATGTTTTGTAGCTTCTCTCGCGATTTTATGACTTTAACAGGGAACTCCCCACTCCACAGCCCCGAGCACCGAGCCCCCGCCAAAAGCTATTGAAACAGATTTTGCTGACTCTCACTTTCCCCAGCCCCGGAGCTCTTTTTTTTTTCGTCCGCCCCCACTCAATGAAATTCATTTTTCGATATGTTATTCCTGTGCCGGCACGACTTCATGTGTGTGTGAGGCTTTGGTTTACCTGGATTCTTTGTGAGGGCCCCGCCCACCTTCTCTCGCCCCCACCATCCCGGGCGACACTTTTAGCATCATTATCTGCACGGCATCGAAGGCTCAAGCTCAAGCACTTTGAGTTATGCGCCTGGCAGACGCTCAAAAAACATAAAAAACAAATAAATGGCAGGGAAAAACGAAATGTACCCAGAGATACATGGGTATAGGCCTCGGGGGGAGGAGAAGAAATTGGAGTTTGGGGCAAGATGCGATTAAAACCAGCACATGTACGCATACATACAATTCCAGACGGTCTTGAGAAAAATAAAGCATTTTATTACCAAATCTTTTAGTCAAAGATTTAGGAGCTTCCAGCACCCCAGACTATCTGATATGGAAATTTATTAGGCTTGAAAGTTTTTAATCATTTTAAATGCTCTAAGACATTGGCAATAACTTAATAGTTTTCTGTAATTGTGTTTGGGCAGTAAACATTATTTTATGGCATAATAAAAAAGATTTTAAACTAATTTGTTTAGGGGAAAATAAAATAAAACAAATACTTTAATTTTCTGGTTTAAAGAAGGTGCTACATTTCCCTCCAAAAAATCAGCTTGAATGGTACTAGTTTTTAGATCGATTCCGTTTGGAATTCTTGGGTAAAGCAAAAGGTAATTACGCCGATGTGTACAGTTCTTTAAAATTATGAATAATTTGTTGCTATTAAGATTAACTTTTGCCTATTAAAGTAGCTGGTAATACCTTATTAAGCCAGGATTATATATTAATTACGATTACTTTTCTTCTTCATTTAGTTTCCCAACTAGTAAGTTCAATCGTAAATTTTTTGACCCAATTTATGACTGGGGTTTTCGGTGGCTTCCTTCCGTTTGCCTGCTGTGAGCTGCTGAGCATGTGTGCCGGGCTCAAAGGCTTCTTTGTTTGGGGACACAAGTCAAATGCTCGCTCTTTGAGCTGGTTTTACGATTGCGGGTAACAATCATTTCGTTAATGGGATTAATTTGCCTAAGTGCAGTCTGTGAGCTGCAACGATGGTGTCCGCCTGCCGATCGTCAAAGTTCACACATTTTCACCCCGGAGCCAAAAACACGGAACTCCGACACCGACACCTTGGCCAGGCGCTGGCTGGGTTATTTTTATGGGCGATGTTATGGGATGCCAGTTGGCACATAAACAGGCAGCAGCCACGTCCATCCATCCATCCATCTATCAATTGGCGTGCGCGTGGGCGGGTGGGAGGTTGTGTGCTTAACACACCATTGAACTGTTACGCAACAGGAACCCACACACAGATACTACTGAGTCAGCTACAGATGGAGATACAGATACATATGTCCGGTGGTGGAGCCCTACAGACAAATCCCATTTGATGTTCACTCAGCAGAAAGGCAACGCCAATGAAGCATGCAAAAGGTATTCCAGCTTTTTCGTTTGCCGCTCCAGTCGTGGCCCGGATTGCTGAGATTTTGGCTTTGTAACTCAAAATCGGTCGGTACAAGGTACAAGGAGCGAATGTGCAAACATCGTGAAAAACGCTGCCACAACAACAACAGCAGCAACACAAGGGACCAGGAAAAAAAAAACGAAAGGAAAGAAGCCAAGCAAAAAAGAAAAATCCCAAGAAACAAAGGCCAAAGGCTGATAAAGACGCTTACAGGCCGCAACCGAGGCAAAAGGAAACTTTTCCTTTAGCCTCGCATTTTCCCCGCTGCCAGTTAGCCTTTTTCCGCATTTTATTGAACTTTAATTCATTTTGCACTGGCCAGCAAAATGTGCAGAATAAATTGTTTTATTTAAGCGGAGAGCTCGGTGCAAATGTGGTCGGGATGCAGCTCCTTACCATGTTCCTTTGTGAATGTGTGTGTGTCGGGATCTCCCCTCATTGTCCACTGGGTCATAAAATGGCTTCCGGTTATACTTCAAGCGAGATTAACTTGTCGTTTACAATTTCCCTTTGATTTGTTCCACCGGTAGAAGGGGGACGATAGCTAGCCGAGGGGTGAAGTGTGTGGCTCTAACATATACTTATATGGTATATAGACCAGGGTTGAATTTGCAGGACTTTCACTTTCATCTCATGACACTCCTGCGGTGGATATGCAGCCGGTTTGTTGCCCTGCATCTAATAGAATAAGCATATTGGTTTAAATTTTTAAAATGCCACATTAAGTAACTCATATTTAAAACTTTGTAAGATTGTAAGTAAACCAATTTTTTTAAATTTAAATAAAGCAGGTAACCATTAAGGATAATAATTGCACCTAAACATAGCATACAGTAATATATTAATTTTTAAGCGCTCACTAACAATGTTTTAAAAATAATAAAGATTTTAAAGAAATGTATCTAAGAAATGTTTGAAACTTATTTAAAATATTATTTTTGGCCCTAAGTATATTTAGGTATGCCTATTTATATTTCTATTTACTATTTCCTACCAATATCAAGCTTAAAAAGTTTATTTTTTAATATAAAGCGATTTCTGTAACAATTATCGAAAAACACATTTAAGCGATTTTTTTTTTGTTTGCTACAAATCGTAGGCCATCAAGGCAAATGGCTAGAGAACTCTCATTTTTCCGCCATTCAGATTGAAAAATGGCCATGTAATTGCTGCATTGTTGTTGGCCTGGTCGGGTACAAATTGATTTACAACAATTCATTCTCGCCTGGGGCAACCGCTGTGAGACCCAACCCAGCTGACCAGAACACTTGTGGGGGCAAGTCTCAGGTGTGAGTTTTATTTGTTTTGAAATTGTTTTCTCCGCTTTGTTCGGTCTCCTGTTTTTTTTTTGTATTCCCTCGTTTTGCTTTGTTTCGAGAGGATGAAAAGGAAGCCAGCCAGCCACACGCAGTGGTGCTCTGTTTTCCTTGCGGCCTGCCGGTAATTTCATTTCGTCCTGCCAACCAGCCACCCAGCCAGCCATTCGCTTCACAGAAGTGCAGCCAGCCCTCGCTTTCACTTTCGCCTGGGCTTTGGCTCTCACCTTTCGGCGAAACACAAAACCAAAACCAAATCTGGCCCAGTTCGCGGCTGCTATGCAATTAAGCCACGCAATCAGAATGCAAGATGAAGGCTGTGCAAACAATTGAATTCGGCCAGCAAAGGGACACACAGTGCTGGGAAAGGTACACAATTATTACTTCCAACCAAGGCACAGGATACAAGGATACCAAAACTAAATAAACTAATTTTAAAATCGAGTAAATCAAGTAATAGAGTGGAATATCTGTAGTAAATATTTCAGAATTCATTTCATAATTATTATAAAATAAATTAAATTAAATTAAGACAAAGCTTAGGGGGTGGTACCTGGCATTTGCCTAAACCCAGCCAGCGCAACACTGATAACAGGATGGAGGACAACAGAAGCGTCGAGTTGTGAGGTAACCCAAATTCTGGCAAAATGGCGGCCACAAGCTGCAAAGCCAACATGGCAGCTGACATCTGTCAGATGCTGTTATTCCGCTGCACTTTTAGTTGCTTTTGGGCTGCATTTGGGCATCCTGAGCTCCGTATTCCGGCCGGACTTTACTTGCCGGTCCCGGCTGAGCACTCACAATGGTTAGCCCGTTGGCAAAATCGGAGCCACTAACGAGCCGGTTCCATGTGGTGGCCGAGATCGCGGGAATTAAGACGAACTACAAGCTGAATAATTTTTTAAGGACAACCTAGATCCCATTTTTATACTACTTTATGTATTTGCAATAAAAAAAGCTGTAAATAATATTAGTTTCTTACTCAGCAACGTCTTGCACCTTTTAAATGAAGGTGTGACGAATGAAATAATTGTAATTTCACGCCCAAACTGTCATATTTTCATAGTTTTACCAGCATGTATTATTGCTAGTTACCACTTGTAAGAAGAAAGACGGTTAAAATGGATAAATATTTATTTTTAATGGGTAATATATATTTAATAATTGTTTGATATTTAATTTTAAATTAAATTTTCTTAGCCCTTATTATTCTGCCAGAAATCTCTTTTATGCTGGAAGCTGTCGATGATTTTGAAGTCCCTGTGGAAATAACATTCGATAATGGGACTCCGGATCCTTTACAAATGAGGAGCAAGCCAATTATAAATACTAAGGGAAGGAGTCGTGCATATCGGCACTTGGATGACCACACATTGAACGTCACCAAATACCGTGGCGAAATGGTTGACAATTATTGCTGCTTCTGGGTGTACCAAACACATCCCGCTATTACCCAGACCTGGAAGAATATGTCCGAGCATCCGTTCGACTTTAACTTCAATGGTCTCTTTGTGGAGAATAAGCGAAACAATACAAGTCTAAATCCTTAAAGTAAATTGGGTAGTCCTTTAGGAGCATAGAAATTAGCCAAGTCTCTCGGATAAAAGTAAAATATTATATAGTAATTTTTAAAGGGTTTAAAGGAACTTTTTTTATGGAACATATTCCTGTTCTATAGATATATGCAGCAAGAGTTAATTCATATTATCAACGGAGCCGACAATGGATTCTGTGCAATGTGGCTATGCGTTTAATTGAGCCTACGGCGCCCGACAGCTGAACTGAGGCCCAGAAATATAATTAACTTTGTCTGCCCGGCCAGGCGGTCGGAGCGGGGCGGGGCCAAAGTCGCTCAAAAGTTGGGAAATTCGTTCGGTGACCCCCGAAAAGCGGGCGAGGAAGGGGAAGCTTTTTGTGCCTAAAAGCCTGACAGCACATAATGGATTTGACACATTATAATCAGGTTTGCATAGTGTCCTGCGCCCAGTCTGTCAGTCAGTCAGTCACCCAGTCAGTGAGGCGAGCGGTCCCTCGAGGACTCCGGGCAACTTGGGCGCTTTGACGTGCTCTGCTTATTTGGTCAGCAAGTTGTTGTAGTTAGCTGTAAACGTTCACAGAGAGAAAATTATTTATTTGTATTTAATTAATAACTAAAGTGTAAATCAGGCCAACGATTGGGCTAAAAACTAGTTGATCTCTTAACACATTTAAAGCAAGACTTTACTAAAAGATTGAAAGTTTAATTGCAATCACATTATTGTGATAAATACTCCCCTTAATTTAACCATATGACTGGTAAAGTGGGAATGGGAATAATTACCTGTGAGATTTCTCCCCGTGGAGTAGTTGCCCATCATCTTCGTCCTGAGGAGAAGTTTGATAAATAAGCAGAGCGGGCCCATGTCTGGGCATTTACTTAGTTAATTAAATTCAACTTCTTTGGCCAAAGGGAAATGACAGAGGAGGCAAGAGAGCAAGTGAAGCCCTGCAGGGCGAGCAGGTACTGTGCACCCCACCCCCATGAGTGTCCCGACCATCATCCTTCCTGCTGAAAGTTCGTCCAACGTATTTGTTCATATCATAGGTAAATATTTCCAGGACGGGAGCCTCGATGTTTGCTTTTAATTTCGCCTTTTCTTTTGCCTTTAGTTTTTAATTTGTCCAGGTGATTAGAGCGAGCGGCTGCACTGCCGCATCCTGCCGAATCCTGACCAAGGTCTCTCTGGCTTCAGCAATTTCCTGCTCCAATGACTAATGAAAATGGTGAAAAGATTTAAATTTACCGCACTAAGGGACACACACGCACACACCAAGGCCACTTTCCTTGTGCTTTCTTTAAGGATCTTATCTCCCTCCTCACTTTGAAAATAAATTCTGTGTGCGGGTGCTAGCAACTTATGCAAGCAAATAATTCCGTTTTAAATCGATTTAAAATGGAAACGAATGAATATATGTATTGACACAAGAATTTTATGCAAATGCATACAATGTATGCACAGAAAGAAAATTAACGAATAAAATAAGACATTTATTTGAATTTGATTTTAAATTTCCATGTTATATTTATCGATAGCTATCAGTTTCTCCCTAACCGATCGCACAGTCGACTACTCGATTTCTCGAAATATCGATAGTTTTCATCGGTAGTTGTATTTTCGCAACAGAACTGCTTAGATCCAATCAGAAACTGCTTGGTCAAATTGGGTTAAAAAGTTATCGAAGGCTGCCCATCTCTGGTCGATCGACTCAAAAAAGCTATCGATTTGTGTAAACAATCAGTTATCGATTATCAGCTGTTTTGTTCGCGCGCTTTTCACGCAGAGATCATATTGTTAAATTTTGTTTATTGTTTATAAGAGAGATTAGTGCATTTCGCCATGTCAGTTTTGCTGGCGGACATTGATGCCACATGCGCCGCATTGGGCTACAGCGATGGGCAAAAGTACCAGGCAGAGCCCGATGCCGCCGAGGGTTTGAAGGTATTTCATTTACGCACTCAATATAAATGGTTGTTAACATGATTCCTTGCTTCCCAGCACCTCATTTGGATACTGCGCCGGGATCTGGACAACCACGAGTATCGCCGCCACTTGGGCCGAGCTAAGGTGGTGCAGACCGACTTGGTGTACATGCTGCCGGACTATGTCCACCACGAGGAGCTGTCCGATCTGCTGATCCGCCTGCTGGTCATCCTGACCAATCCCACCCTGCTGCTGTACCGAGAAGGTCCGCCGAAAGACAATCATGGCCGGAAGGTGTTCATGGAACTCATCGACATACTGCAGGGCTACAAAGCAGCCTTTGCCCGGGACAAGATCTGGACGTCACTGTTCGAGAAACTCAAGCAGGCCTTGGAAATAGTGAGTATTGATCGCCCCCACGCCCCGACCCAATTGGCAGTTTTTGAAAAAGTGTTAGCTAAATTATGGCACAAGTTATTGAAGAAGCAGAAGACCTAGGCAGCAGCAGTGGCAGCGACGATAGTGGCGACGAGAGCGCCGCCAATGAGGTGCCGGTGGCGTCCAACAGCTACTTCATGTGTTTGGTGTGCATGAACACTGGGCGCTCGCCGCAGGTCAGCTACTGTGGGCACCACTTCTGTGACGAGTGCATCCGCACATGGATTCAAACTCGGAAGCGCTGCCCGTATTGCCAGGCGTTTGTTGGAAAGAACACACTCATTCCTATTAACAACGAGCCATCCATTGATGAAGAAACCGTCCGAGAACGTCGTGCATTCGTACCTCAAGAGTTTCACTACGAAACGGAAAAGGCCGTCTTGCCAGAAATAGGCATGTTCCAGCGCGGCAACATTGTGTATCCGTTAGGGCGCCAGCCGCGTTTCAAACCGTTGCCGCCGCAGATGCTTAAGAAGGCGCCAAAGTATCCCATTCGACGTGTGGTCCTGGCTCCCAACCTACTCCAGCGCGGAATGACAATGATCATACTATCCTTCCTGTACGTCATGTTCCTGAATAGTGTCTTGAAGGATTAACAGCCAGGAACTGCGTATCCAGATGAGATAGTTCCAAATTCTTGCTTCCTGTTTTTCTTGTTTAGTTTTAAATAATGTTCAATAGAATTGTGTCTGTTTATTGATCTATATTCTGAATTACTCTTAATAGGCTTTTTATCCTACAAATTTGTTGTTCATGTCTTTCCCATACATCGGACCCACAATCGTGTCCAGGGCTGGACTGGTCTCCTGCTCTAAAGGCCAGGCAATTATCGTTGGGGCATTTGCACAACTATTTCTGTAATCTTTATAATCTATGCATTAATGGCCAAGCGGGTACGCAAAACTTTTAATGGCTCTTGCAGCTGCCAGCAGTCAAGTTTTATTTTTTTTCACGTTGCTCGCTCTGCACGCTCCAAGTTTGTTTTGGCTTTATGACTGCTGTGCTCGTCTCTTTGTGGGGTTTATAACTAATTTGAACTTCATATCTACTCGCTTTTATCTTCTTTATTTGTTCCCTCTCTCTGTATCCCCTTCTTTTATTCGGTCAAGTTGAGCCCTTGAAGTACAGAGCAGCCGGACTCTGTGGCCCGAAAATCCAAAAGATGGAATTTAATTTGAAAATATTCCACAATATGAAATCAAATCGGCAAAAGGTTCCCGGCTAGAGAAAGCCGCAACAAGTCGATTCAATAAACGCCCACGACAAGTGTGAATTGCTGGATGTGGGGGAGGCTGTGGTGTTGTTGGTGCCAATGGCTACAAGGCACCTTCAAATCAAACACGTCACAGCCACACAGAGGAATTCTATCCAGGCCTAGACGTACCTGCTAAAAAAAAAAGAACAAGCAAAACCAAACCGAATCAAACTGAACCAACATGGGTGGTGGGTCGAGACACTGTCGAAACCACAAAGGCAGAAGCCCAGCAACAATGATTGCCAATCTGTGGAAGTGTGCCTAGGCGGTGGGGTGTCTGTGGGTGGGTTTTACAAATGCTTTCAATTGCTAGTTTTTAGATGAATTGAAAAAAATCTGTATATGTATAACACAGATTAGGGAATGCTTGTTTAAAATACTCTTGTTTAAAATGCAATAAGTTTTTAATTTTAGCTTTTTATTCCATTTTTTTTTCTATCTTTTTGAAAAACACAATTTGCTTTTAATTTAAAATGGAAAAACTAGATTTCTGTATTTTTTCCATTAGACTGATTTAATTTATTATTTGTATAGAAGTATAAAAATATATTTAAATACAAATAAAATATTTATTAGTAAGGAAATAAGGTTCATGCGCTCCAAAGGTATTTTCCTGAAATTCCTTTTCTTCTTTTGACAAATTTTCAGGAAAATGTGAAAAGCCCTCTGCAAAGGGTATAAAAGGAACATATTTGCCCCAGCGGCATTGAATTAGGGACGAATGGTACGGCCTGTTCAAAATCCCCGCAAGGCAGCCAAAAAAACGAAATAAAATCTTTTGATTTCTGTGTGATATTTGTGGATGAGCTCCAGGTTGATTGCCATAAATTTGTAATTGAAAATGTACATTGAATAGAAAGTGTGGCTGTCTTGTGGAGCAACTATTTTCCGAATGACCATCTTAAATGAAGTAACGGAGGGTGGAACTGCTGGGCAATTATCATAAGTTAAATCCTGGTTACCGAAATGCCAAAACGTAAATCTCAAGATGAGAGAGCAAGCCCGGCCTAGTCCCCGCAACCCATCTCCTAACACAACGAAATAAATTCATTTAAAGCCGATTGAATCGACATTCATAACACTCCGGGGAGCAATTCCAAAGGATTTTCATGGCGCTGCGTTGCCAGCGTTGCCAAAGAGTCGCCCGAGGATTTCTTTACATTTCCATTTTTTAGGGAGCGATTTTTCTTTTATTTGTGCCGTTTTTCTCGTTTTCTGTTTCTGTATTATTTTCTTTTTTTGTTAGGTTAAATGCAGGCGAATTTCTATATGGATGCTGTCTATTTGTTCTTGTTGCTGTGTGGCTGTTGTCGTTGATAATGAATGTGTGCGAGGATTTTTCCGCTGTTGCCTCTGGCGGTGCCGCCCCTTCTTCTTGTTACTGCACTTGAAAAAATATTTTTAAATTAATGTGACATTTTAAAAATGTAAACAACGAACTGGAAGAGTAAAAAAAACCTTTTATTCTTTACACATATAATAATAAGGATAACTACCTTGTTTTTCATTTAATATTACTTAGAATCTGAGAACAAGTCCGCAAAAAATTATAACTCAAAGCTCTTAGCTCTCAAAGTATTTAAGATCCTTTGACCTTTTGAAACATTTTTTTATATTTTTTTACCCTTAGGAGAATTATATTTTTTTTATAAATCAATCAAAATCCCATTTTAATAGGAGTTAGTTACATCGTTAAAATTTTTCAAAATTAATCAAAATTTTTATTTCTTAAAAAGTTTTTATAGAGTATGCTGATTTGTTAACATAGAAAAGCTTTCCTAATTAAAATTTAGGAATAGAATTTTTCGTTTCCTTTCTAGTTTTATTTTTTTTTATTTTAATATATAATTTTCAGTTTTGTGGTAAACTTTTTTGCCAAGTGCCTTGGTGTTGCTGGCTGACTTTTTATGCTTTACTTCTTTATTTGCGTCGCGCCGACTTACACGCTTTGATGTATGCGCGGCGAGCAGCCAAGTGGACAGGCTGGAGTAGGAGAAGGACCTCCGTTTTTCCTCTGCTTTCTCGGAGAAGGAGTGAGGGCGGGGCATTGAGCTTTCAGTTTTGAATGAGCCAACATCTCCTCTGGCTGCTGTTGTTGTTGTTGTTGTTGCTTAGGGAAACCAAAAACGGAAGTCATTATTAACTTTGGCTTTGAGATGGGCTCGGGGTCCTGAGGTCTGGAACCCCGAGTTCCTGGCTCATGGGCGGGTGTCTATGTCCGGGCCAGAGGAGTCGGCATCAGCATCAGCGTCGGAGTCGTAGCCACAGCTGGCTTGTAGGCACAAAAGCCGCATTAGTTGTATTTATTTTTAAGCTCACAGCAGCAACTGTAATGTCCTGCTGCGCCCATGGAACCCAGCCACCCAGCCGCCCAGCCGCCCAACCACCCACATTCTCCATCCAGGCATCCATCCTCTCTCTTATCGCCCACACCCTGCTCAAATTGATTTCAACTTGACTTTGTTGTGGTCCCATCGCCTGTCTTGCCTTGAGTCCGGGCTTCCGTTTTACAGTCGAGCTACATAAATTTGCAATTTAATTTAATTTAATTTCATTTGATTATTTTAACTTGACTCGCGGGATTTGGTGCTTAGATTTTTACACTGGGATTTGCTTCAGCATTTTATTACACTCTCTGACTCGTAATGCGACTTCCTTCCACAGGCCTTTGCCATCCGAAGCGAGGAGCAGAACCTTCTAATTGAGCGCATCCTGGTGCTGGTCCGAAATGTCTTGCAAGTGCCGGCGAATCCTGAGGCCGAGTGCCGGGCGGACAACGATGCCAGCCTTCATGACCAGGTCATTTGGGCCCTCCATCAAACAGGAATGCTGGACCTAGTGCTGTTCGTGATCTCATCGCCGGATGAAGAGCAATTCCATCTGCACGGACTGGAGATTTTGTGCCTGCTCTATAGGGAACAGGTTGGTGATGACCTTAAAACTGCTTCGTTTCCGTTTAAAAACTTAATTCTTTCAGAGTGCCGAGTCCCTGGCGGATGCCTCTCTGCAACGCAGTCTCAGCGAAAAGCAGCGCGATCAGCAGGAACTCCTCGCCGCCCGTCGTCGAGAGCGCGCTCGTCGGCAGGCTCGTCCGCCGCCCGGGCGTCATTCACGCTTCGGCGGCACCTACGTCATTCGGAACATGAAGTCCGTCTCAGATCGGGATGTGATCTGCCACCAGGCCCTGGAACGAGTCTCCTCGATCGATTTTGACAGGGAAAAGGAGCAGCAAAAACGCTCGCATCGCCACATCAAGGAGGAGGCCCAGGTGACCCGCCGCAGCGCGTTTACCGTGAGGTGAGGGCATATTCCGCAGCCAGCCCATATCCATTTGTCTGTGGCCACTTCCTGCACTTTGGCTTTGGCCCATCTCTATTGTGCGGCTCCTGGTGTGGCCATTAGCATCGGAATTGTTATGGCCACCCGAATGCCAGCCCACATCCCGGCCATTGATTTTCGATTTTACGCTGCCAGGGCAGGCGTATCCTGGAGATTGAGCCAGAGCGAGGGCGCACCAGGGAGCCAGTGAGCCAGTGAGCCAGCGAGCGTATAAAATAATATTCAATAATAAATGAAGCCATTTCCTTTTGGCCCTTTCGCTGTTCCCCTTCCGCCTCTCCGTCTTCCAGCTGCCTGTAATTCCTGCTGTTTTATAGAATCGCACAAACGATATTGGCTGCTAGAGGCTCCCGGCTCCCCGGCTCCCCGGCTCTTGGGTTCCGCCTGACTTGGCCGGGTTAAACAATATCTTGGCGCCGAGCAGCGCCTCTGTCGCCGCTCCCCCTAATGGCCACCAGGTGCAGCTATTTTATGCTGCTCTGCTAACCAACAAAGTACTTAAAGGATCTCCGCCCAGCCCGCCGGCCAAGCAGTCCGGGATGCGGCTGCTATTCGGCCGTCTTGAATAGTTACAGTAAATGCAATTGCCGCAGTTTGCCAGCAGAAAAATACCCTAGCTTTTGTATTGAAAACTTTTTTATAGCAACTATGTATAAGAGAACTTAAAGTTTAGATTTTCTTGACTTGAAATCTTGCTGTAAGCTGAATTGAATATCCACTTGAATAATAATACAAATAATTATCAGAGCATATAAACTTCGTTGCGGAAAAGTCCCAGAGCTTCCCAGAAATTGTGGCGTTGAGCATAAAAACCCGTGCAGAGATAAAACTGCAGTAGCAACTTGACGGCGCCAACGGCATCGGCATTTTCTGCATCGCCATTGCCATCGGTGCGGCATCGACTTTGGGATCTCTCTGGCCGGCGAGCCGTGCAATTTTCAAGCAAAATCCTCAAAAGGTTTTTCCCCATTTTTAGACGCTAGCAACATTTTTGCTTGTTAGTCGGCCTGGTTTATGGGCAAGATGCTTACTCCATTGGCTGGCCAAATCTTTGGGCGCCCATAAATTGATGGAGCAGAACAAATGTGACCGGAGCGACGCCGATGGCTGTGATTAGACAACTCCAATTGTCCCATCCGACATTCGACCGCAAGCGAATGAATGGTCCGAGTCCGAGTCCGAGTCCTGGCACGTAGGCAGCGAAAGTTCATCAATGTCACGTGTCGAGGCCCCGTGTGCTCACAACAATTTGTTAGCCAACCGCAAGTGCATGTTGCAATAAGCCGCCAAGAGGGTGGCCACATTTTTCTGTTGTATTTCGCCTCCTTTTGGCATAAATTAATCCGCGTCGGCATCGATGCGTTGGATTTGTGTTTCGCCTGCTGGCAGAGATTGCTCTCCGCTCGGCTGGATCGAAGAGAAGGAGTGGGGTTGGATGGTTGGCTGGCTGCATCTTTTAGCCAGCTTTGCACAAATAAATTGGCCAGGCGAAATTTATTGCATCAGCGCTGCCAAATGCCGTTGCAGCGTCCGCATTTGTTATATAAACTGATAGAGGGCGTTCGCTTTCAATCAATATTATTGTGGTATAACCATTTTTCATGTACCCCTGCCTCGTCCCAGTTTCCCTTTTGGCTTACGGATTTTCTCACATTTTTTCCTCGTTTTTTTTTTTCTTGCAGACTGTGCCTGCGCGAGTACTGCATCGAGGTGCTGCGCTCCGCTTACAACACGCTGGTGAGGCAGGTGCGACGGGTCCTGGAACGCAATGCCGGCTCCTCGAGTCACGATGACTCCTATCTATTGTGGGCCATACGATTTTTCATGGAGTTCAATCGTTTGAGTGGTCTACAATTGCAGTTAGTCAGGTGAGTGCCATCCGTGTGTGGGAACGCACAGAGCTGCGAGTTTTTGTAAGCCGTTAGGGAGGAAAATGTAGTTTACAAAATTAGGGAGTGTATTCGAAAAGAATAAATATTAAATATACATTTTTATATTGGTCTTTGCATTAAATATCGAAACAATATATACAAATCAATAGAATTTACAAGGAAATTCTCGGTCTTTACTTTTTAATTTCTTGATTATTATTATTCCCCAATTCCAATAGTGATTTTCTATAAGCCTTAAGATTTCTTTCTTAAATAATTTTATATTTAAATATATATATTATATAGAAATACAGCGATATATACTTTTTTTACTTTAACAAATATTTGCAATTCATGTACCTGACATACTTATATTATAACCTTTCCTCCCGTACAAGGATTTATAATTTTTTTTGAAGAGGTTAGCTAGTTTGGCATCTCTGATATGTGACTTACATTTGCCAATGTCAATGTGAAGAAGATTTCCGGAAGGAGCTTGACTTCACTTGCCCTAGATATGCTCTGTGGTTGTTCAAAGCGTTCAAATTAATTGCCTACAACTTGCAGTAGTAAAGATCAAACCGAGAGTCCCCTCACAAGTGATATGATGATGATTTTGCTGATGAGCTCTGCTCTGGGCGCCTAATGAAACGCTGGCCTGGCCTGCTGCTGGCCAAGTCAGCAGATATGCAAATCCCCGGCGCACAAGCTGCTCACTCAAACCGCCTCCATCAAGGCTTTTAATCAAATTACTTTGCAACACTCCTCAAATGAAAGAAATTCTGGAAAAACTTTTATTCCGTTGGCCACTCTCTCGCACTTTGAACATTTTTGCTCACAGAAGCCAAATCATATTGGTGGTGTTGAAGTTTAAAATGCAGGAAAAGCCAGGGAAAAGTAGAAGTTGGTTTTGATACAAATTCCTAGAAATATTTCAATTATTTCTAATAAGTTATTTAAGCTAGACATTGTAAGTAATATATTCAACTAACTTAAGAAATATAAAAATTATATAGATTTTTTTTAAGGATTCTGTTTCTCTTGATTTATTGTCAAGCACTCACAGTCTGCTGTCCATAAACTAAAAATTGATTTTCTTGAAATGTTTTCGCCAACAAATAAGCTTCGAATACTTATTATGTTGCTGTCGAAAGGGCAATCCGTCATCCGAGTTGTTGAATTGAGAAACTCGATGGTCCTCTTAAATGGGTGTTTTCAGTGGTTTCCATTTGCTCCGTTTTCCTCGACCATTTCTATTTTTATAACAACAGAGAAAAGTGCGCAGCAAATAAAGTTTCCCCACCATGACAATTTCAATTGGCCGTCGCACATTTTGCCTTTAACACTTGCCGGGGAAAAATGGTCAAGCGGTGTGTCAATACGAGATGCGAAATGTTCCCCAAGCTCTCGTGACCCTAGAATTTTCCAAGATCCTGCTGCTCCTCTGCGGTCACAACACAATTTGTATGTCATTGTTCGGTTGTCCAACATCAGCGCTTCGTCACTAGAGTTTTATTGCATTACTTTTGGGCAGCGGACAACGGACAGCGTACGGCAGACAACGGACAACAAACACATGCGCAAATCAAAGTCATGACGCCAATTGTTGACCCACGGCACATGGGCCACTTTACAACCACTGCAGGCCAGCTCCGTTTCACTTTGGACAGCAGAACACATCAAGCTCCGTAATATTCTTGGCCAAAGTTGTCGTCAAACAAAACGAACCGGACCGCGATTTAGTTACACAGCGAGAAATGTGTGTATATAATTGTGAAGAATAAATCTTAGGTATGAAAGTCAACTGACAAAGGTTTAAATAATAGTCCTATACGTATGTTAAGGCAATACAAGGATAATATTATACATAAAAGCATGAAGTTAAGGGTTTCATTGAATAGGAAAGAGATACAACTATATATTTATATGTGATCTCTACGTCACTTTTTTTGCAAAGAAAAAACACAGTCGCTTTATTTTTTAATTAGGTGTCGATTTTGTTTATTACAAGTGTACATTTAACTTTAAATACTTTAAACTACAATAGTCAGGGTAACAGGGATGTCATTAGCAACATATTTCTTGATTATTCCTAAGGGACAGCCTTTTAAATTTTTTGTTTAATTTTTTTCCCGTGTCTGTCCCCCTTTGGAATTTTGCTGTCCTGTTGTTGTTTTCATTCTTGTCCAGCATGCTGTTAATAAAATTTTGCGTTCTTTATGCTGTCATCCGGCTGACGCTGCTGCTCCTTGCTCCAGACTCGGCTTCGGCTCTGGCTCTGGCTCCATCTCCCTTTTGGTCTCTTTCGCTGGCTGTGTGGTGGGAAATTTCTTTAAAATTGTTTTGGTTACTTTCAAATTAGTTTCTGAATGACAACAATGAAGCTTTGCAAAAATGTTGTCATTCCGTTGGCGCAAAGTTTTCCCAGACCCGTTTTGCCCCCGTTCCCAGGAGCTAGCGACTCCCTCGCACTATTCTAAGTTGGTCGCTTCCGCTCTCACTCCTGTTTTTCATTTTCCGCAATGTCCCTCTGCCTTTTATCATACTTTTTTGTCTCATTTTCTGGCTGTGGCTCGCTGCACCCTTTTCCCCTACGCATCTATATACTTGCCAACCATAAAACTTTCTGTTTATTTCCTCAAATGCAATTTGACGCTGCCCCCGCACCGCACCCTGAACTTTCTTTATCGTCTGCCATTTTCTACTGATTTTGCACTATATAAAGCATGGCATTGCTGTAATGTATGGGCTTTCGGATGGGCAAACTTTTCCTTCCTTGCAACCAGCTTCCAACCCGAAAAAAAGTGAAATTGAGTTTGTCATTTTGTTTATGCGAGCACATGTACCCACCCAGGCATTGATACAGAAATCAATCGCCAGAGTCTGGAAATAATCCGGTTTTCACAAAACAAAAAAATAATCGGTTTTACTTACCTGTAAAGTGGCAGATATCCGATTGATCAAATCATTTTAGCTTGGTCTTTGCTTGGCTAAGTTTTATAAAATTGGCTTCTTGCCTTGGCAAATCTTTCAGACGCAAGTTTTAAAAACTATTTTCTAGGAATATACCTTTTCTATATACCTATTTGAGAAACCTATTAAAGTATTTTCCCCGAGGACCCATTGGAAATGTATTTCCCAAATTTACTGACGAAAGTTTAAGCATCAATCAAAGTTATTTCCACTCGCTTCCCTTTGCACGCTGCTGCAAATGCTCATTGCACTTTTATTGATTTTGTAATTTATTTATTTAGGTTCTTATTGCCGTTGCCGCACATCTGTAATTAATTTGTTTTTAATGCCTCCTCAAATGCTCTCGACGTTGTCGCAAAACTTTAATGGTGGTCGCAGCAGACGTCGCGCTGCTAATTTACCCAAGTTGCAGGCAAATGCTGCAGTTACCGGAAGTGGGTGGTAGAGTTCAGGAAGTGGTTCCTTGGCTGATTCAGTGGGTGGTGGCAAATGTCAACGCCCACTTGTCCCCGGGATCTTGAGCGTAAAGCGTGGGGCGACGGGGAATGGAACTTAGGCTGGCTGGCGCTCAATTCTAGCGCTACTTAAAAATTAATTTTGTTAATGAGTTTTTCGCTGGGCGAGTTGCAAGTGACTGGCGGCAGGCGGCTAGAGGCTGGCGGCAAGCTGCTTACCTGTTTTGCCGCTCCTAGCTGGCAACTTTGGCCAACTTTAATTCAGAATTCCACTACTTAAATATGCAATCGCACATGGTGTTGTGTACACTTGTAATAATTTTGAATGGGGCTTGGCTAAGATTAGTGTTTAAAGGGTTAATGAACTAAATAGAGCAGGGAACTATTAACTATATATGCCTCTATTTTAGAATTTGCTTAGATATTCAAAAGTTCTTGTGAAGATACACAGCCAATGTACTTAGCTCTTTGTAGATTAAGCATTTTAGTTTATTAAAATTCCTAAAATAAACATTATTCTTAGTCGTTGAAACTACCAATTACCATTTAAGTCTAAAAAATTTTAAAATAATGTGTTTCTTTCTGTGCACTTGAATTTAACGGATCCGTGTTGGCTTTTTCCATTTCATTCGCAGCGAATCGTTGAGCGTGCAGTGCTTCCACTGGGTCCTGACGCGTATGCAACATGACATGGACATGATTGTGAGCGACAAGAAACAGGCGCGTCTCTGGGCCAAGCGACTGCATGTAGCCCTTTTGGTAAGTCACTCCAGTCCCAGTTCCAGTGCCAGTCCACGACCTCCACTCCCACTCCCAGTGCCAGTCCTCAGACCCTCAAACCCTCCCACTTCCAGTTCCAGATCCTGGATGAATGCTTTTGCCCCAGCACCTCTTTTGGTGGCCATCTAAGCCGTGTGTGTGTGAGTGTGCAGGGGGGTCTGTTGTTGTTTGCCTTGGCACTGTAAGTGCACTTTTGGGGGCACTCTTCTGGCGCTCGACGTTTGCCTTGGATTAAGCTCGGTGCCTGGTACTCTGTACTCTGTTTTCCTCACACGGTACTCAAGCCAAGCTCCACGCATCCTTAAAGTCCGTCGGAATGAAATGTGGAAAAGTTCAAATGAACAGCGTGCTTTGTCGGGGATTAGTTACAATGCCTGGCACATGGGTTTCTTTGATCATCCGCCTGAAGAAATGCGTTTTTTATCCACAGCAATTAAATGGATAAAATACCAAAAGCGGTTTAAATTTAGATGTAGGAATATTATATTCCACAATTAAGTGGGTAACAAAGGGGGAAGAATTGAGAAAGGTAAAGATACATGTATACATAGAGAGTTTGTGTGCTTTCTTGCTGCAAATCTATGATTAGATGTGCCAATTAATCAATTCATTATTGTTTAATCGACGCAGGAGTCAGTTTGAAGCTTAATTAAACCTAATCCACTTCAAAGACCAATCAATTTCGTTCACGCCCAAGATGTTTAGATGTTTAGACTGGTCGAAGGAGAATATATAGCATTACTGAGGGTTTTGGGGTGTGTTTTCATTCTAATTGTTGTATCCCAGACTCATTACAATGCACCACACACGACACCTCACCACTACACACTACACCTCCGGTCGTTCCAATCATACGCCTGAACGTGTGCCAACTTAATGCTTACCAATTTTTTAATTAAAGACATTCCGGGAATTGCTGCAGAGCCTGCTGGCACTGCAAAGGCTCAAGGATGACAACAACGCGCGGGCTCTCTTCGATATGTTATTGAACAACGTGTGCTATGTCCTGGAGTATCGGGAGACAGTGCTGCATTTGTTAATGAACTACAATGAGGCGCACAGCACAAAGTGAGTACCCGGGCGAATAACCATTTCAGCTATGCACATACATTCCGATTGGAAATAACTTGCCCTCCCGGCCATGCCAGGACCCCCATGCCCTACCCTCCATTTTGGCCTGGGCTGCAGTTCCGATAGATAACGGCAGGCGAGCGGAGCGTCGACCCCGCGGCACACCATCCGCAAATAAGCAAGCCAAACACACATCCTGGTAATGGGATTACTACGAGCACTCCGTGTAGTTGCCTCTCTGAAATATGCAGCGTCTGTCAGGATATCGCCCTTACTGCCAGGATCTGGCCCCGACAATCAGGCATTGTTTGTCTTAGCGGCATGCCTTTGTCTTGAGTCCTGGTCTCTTTGGTCGGCTATTTGCACAGATGTCTGCTGCTGGGTCGACGAAAGCCCCCCATCAGTGCTGCGAAACTAGTTTATTTTTCTTGAATTAATCTTTTAGACAAGTGTTAAAAATACTATCTGGTAATGTGCAAAAGTAATAGAGAAGGAATGCAGTTTTAATACAGTTAACCTCCCGGCCTAGTTCTCCTTTTAATGGAGTCACAGCTATAGAGCATAGATATTGCTCAGAGACAAATACCTACTAGAAAATGTTTGATATTCACAGGATTATTAGCCTAACTGCACTTGGCATCACTAAACCTTACGTACATGCGTGTTTCCCCATAAAAGCAGGCTAAGCTAAATGAACTAGTTGCACATTCCCGAGGCAGCGGGTTCGGTAGTTGGCCAAAAGTTTAATTGATTTTACAAGCATGTGCTGCACGCGTGCTCTGGCATAAAAATTATGCCATTTTCTGGGAGCCAAGGCCCGGACTGCTTAGTGTATATATATTTTTGAGAGCAAATCGCGCACCTTGGCTGCATCCTAATTGCCGAGTTAACAGCGCTCGTGGCCTGCACCTGAAGCAGAATCGAGATTATTTCAATCGAAGCGTGTGCCACACTGCGGGTACTTGATAAATCGCTGCAGAGCATTGGAATCGGATTTAGCTGGGAGGTATAGAGTGCTTGGAACTCATTACCTGCAGAAGAAGATGATATAAACCCACTTCTTTTTAGCATCACATAACGTATGCCTGCACTTTTAAATGCTATCGAAAAACCAAAAACTGAATAAAATCATGGGTCTGGCATGCTGCATTCCACTGCACCATCCATTTAGATAATTGCAATTTTTAGTGCCGAACATGAAGAGTTTGACTCACTTGAATATTTCTAAATGACTGCGCAAATTCGCCTGTCAAACAGACTCAACTGCGAGTGCTGTACGCTGAGTGATACCTGCAATAAATGCCTGGGAATTTATTTCTGTGTCACAGACCCGAATGACAGTGGCACCAAAGGTTGAACTTTCTAAGCTTTACAATCTCTATTTAATTCAATTAAAAGTAGCACATACAAAACTTGCAAAGTAACTTTAAAAGTTAGTGCAAAGTAGATTCATGATTCTAAAATTCTTTAGTCTAAAGAATTTTTTCCATTCAAACAAAAAACCAGCATGAAAGCGACTCAAAATTTTAATTGAATTTAAAAATTTATAGTTTGGTATTTGTTCTTTATAGCAAACTCTTTGCTTTGTTTCACAACAACTGGAATTTTGTTGTATATTTTTGGGTAATATTTTCCAAAGTTCAAAACCTATAGAAAGTACCACAGTATTCGATGATGCACCGAGGATATAAACAAATTGTTGAGTGACTGTTGAGTTTGACTGTCGACTATCAGGACGCATCACATCGGCCCATCCGACGAGTACTAGTTACTCAGTCCTGGGAGTCTGTTGGTCGGGTCTCTGGCAATTTCAAAGCTTTGACTAAATTAATTTAGCGCGCAAACATGAAATTGACATCCGGAGCGGAGTGGAGGAGAGTTGAGAGTCGAAAAGGGGCGGACAGGATTCAGGAAACTACATAGCCGGGATAGCAGATACGCCGAATCCCAGGGACTGACTCGCATGTAAATGCAGCTGGGGACGTCGGTGGTGCAGCAACTGTTGCTTAATTGGAGCATGATTAATGCGGAACCAGCTGGAAATAGTTGATTTAAAGAATTAAATCGATTAAACATTAAGTTGCGTCATCACAGATGCGAACGGCTTTCAATTAAGCCGGCCAATTGGCAATCATGTAAATGCTGCTGCCTTTTGAACTGCAATCAGTGTTCGAGTGCCTGCCAGATTAAAGATTTTTCGGTGTCAAGATGAATAATTTATGACCCCGACTGGGCGCTATACGCCACCTTTCCTGCGCCCTTTGCCAGATTATTGCCACCCATTTCGGTGGCGATTTAGAGCCGCAAACAGTGCTGGCCACATTTTAGCCATTTAAGAGAATACTAGCTCAGATTTATATAAAATAGCCAAGGCAACAGCATTGTAGCCCCGCTGCAATCGACGCCCATCAGTCATTGTTGTTGTGGCTGTCATAATTAATAATATTTTCATTATAAACGTCTTATGCCAACAACGTCGGGCGCAACTGCCCGCAAATAGTCGGTCTGGTTTGGTCTGTCCGTCGGTGTCTGGGCGCAATTATATTTTATCATTTATTCAGCAAGCGCTCAAACTCGTCGCGAAGACAATCCCCCAACCGACATCTCCTCCCAGATCCCCGAGAACCCGACCGCTGACCAGCCCCCCAGCCCAAAAACACCCAAGTGTTCTAATTAATTCTGTATGCTCAACCTGCTGCTGCTACTTCAACTTCTTCCTCCTCATTTTCCCTGGCTCAGGCATTGTGGCTGTTGGCGTCCATTTAATCAGCGTAAACGCGAATATCAAATCAGGCACAACAACAACAACAACAACAACAGCAGCAGCAGCAGCAACAACAATAGCGACAAGAAGTTACAAAACCGGGTGCATACAAATTAATTATAAATAATTTATTAACGATTTATCTTTGTCCTGCTGCCAAGCTTCGTTGGTCACATGTGCTTGAGATTGAGTAGCTGTGCAGAGAGAAAAATGGTTGTAGTTAAGGCAAAGACTTACCTAAATTTTATATTATAATTATTTAGTTACTGGTATTTAATTGATATTATTAGAATGTGTTAGGGAATTTCCCTAAAAAAACATATCAAAAGATTTATACTCTTTACTTATTATTGAGGCTACTTGAAATTCTCTTTTTACATTTTTTTTCCTGTGTAATTATCCCACTCCACTTTAAGTGGGCGTTGAAGTCAAGGTGGGGTGACTCGATTTGCACCTGCGCATCATTAGGGAATGATGGTAGGTGGGCAATCGATTTGGATCCGCTTGTAAAATGGTTTGTGGCATGCAATATGTTGTGCAACTAACCCACCGCTCTTACCCGCTTACCCGCTTCTCCGCTGCGGTTACTTGGCGTTGTGGTCAGGTGGCACCGGCATGAGCATCAGCAACATCAGCATTCAAACATCTGCAGCGCCACCACCATTGCCACTAACCTCGTCCAATAACAGCAGTGTTGTCTGATTTTCTTAGCTTAAAAAAGACAAATTTAAATTAAAGTGTTATGAAATTTTTGTATCTTTCTTTTGCTAAAATTAAATGTAAATTAAATTATATGATTTAAGTTTTAGAAACCTTTTTTACCCTTAAGACTTTGTAATTATACTTACAGCAACTTGTCACAGAATTCGTGGCATTCGCCTTGATGTGAAAAAGCCGATGGAGAGCATTGCTTTTCTTTGTGATTCCTTACTTAATTTTCATTGCAAATTGTTTTTATTTGCTTTCGTTAGATTTTTTTTTATAAACTCTGCTTAAATTTTCCATTTAACAACCATCAAATATGCCAGAAAAATAGCTAAATTGTCACCACAAATCGATGACAGAAGTCACTATAAAGTCCGCAGCTACCAGCAGTTTTTACGCTTCGCCTGCTGTTAATGCTGCCACCACATGCATCTTTGCGACTCCTCGGCAGCGTCGCCGCCAAAGGGGCTGCGCTTGATTCATTTCACATTTCAGTTATCATCAAATGGGCACCACACAGGCGGCTTCGGCGCCCATCACCCACTAGCGGTTGACAGGTATGGAGTCTCACACACAGCACCACCCAAATTTTCAAATCCATGTGCGCCACACTCCGCCTTGCAGTCAACTGAGCCCCTTTATCATCAATTCGCCACTAGTCTCCGTCAGTTGTGGTCCTGACTGACAGTTCTTGATCAATACAAATGGCCAAATATCGTGCAATTGGCTGGTGAATGTTAACAGGCTTTCATTTAATGGCTGCTATATGCGGCTATTCCAACTTTGACTTGGTCAGCGCCTTTATACTCATCTAATCTATGGTACTAAACCTGAATTGGCTTGTATTTTACGATGTTTTGTATCTGGTAGATGTATCTGCAGCTAAATTCAAAGGGTTTTGCTTAGACTCCTTCTTAAATCTGTATAAATATCCTTTTTGCAGACCATTTATGCTCTGTTTAAACGTACTTTTCATAGAATTAAATCATTATATCATACATCAATCTTTTTAAGTAATTATACAGATATTTTCTGTTAATTGAATCAACTGCATGAAACCCAAACATGTCTGCCTTGGGATAGCCCACATAATCAGTTTTCTCCATCAAAACACCATCACTGCGTGGCATTGTATGCTCCACATGCGTTTGATTTTCAGCGGATGCTCGGTTGGTGGGACACCAGCCCTTTTGAATTATTTGCCCGTTTAATTTGGCTAAATGTCAATGCATCTATGGCATCGATTCTCGTTTGCCGTTCACCGGCGGCCCCCTGAATGCTGGATAACCACTTTCATTACAAATTCATTTCCCCGGACGCCGGCTCCCAGGATCACCTCGCCAGCTGCGTTTGGTGGCACATTGACCGCATTTGCAAAATGCCGATGGAGGTAAGCTCCTGCATAGTGACGCTTGCGCGGGGCATTAAAATTCGCAATGAATTTGCATAAATTTTGGAAAGCGCCAACGCCACCGTCGAGTGTCAACGGAGCGCGCTGTGACCTTTTTGGCCATTTTCGCATTTTTCAACGCCCACGCGATGTAGCCATTTTTATGGACCGAGGACCCGGCAATTAGAGGGCTGAACGTGGAACTCTGAGCGACTTGAACAGGGATTACGCCCACATATGCTCGGGGCAAATAGGGGAAAATCGTGTTCAAAGCTAATTTTGTTCATGTATGAGATTTTATATTTGTTTTTTAGATTTATTTTGCCTTTAATTAAGGTATTATAGGGTTAAATAAATACCCTAACTTTCTGGACTCACTATCAGCCTGCAGGCCCATTTCTGTTTATTGGTTATTTCTATATATATTTTATTTTGAGCCCATTAAGGCCTGCCTTCTCTGCATACTCGGCCTGTTTTGCATTGTCCTTTTTTTGGTGACTCGCGCGATTTTCATTATTCAAACGGCAATCAATCATTTTAACAAATTGACGTGCACAATGACGCTGGCTTTTATTTTTCGGCTTCGGGTTGGGGCCAGGGCACGCTAAAAACAAAGCGGAAGTTAGCTCTGCATAGCGGCAGCTGATTTTGGCATTTTAGCGGCTGTCTTTTGCCTTGTTTTTTGTCGGTTGGCGGCAGCGGCGATGCCTTTTGCCATTTTGAGGGTAATTTGCTAATTGGAGGCGTCATCGGTTTCGACAGCAAAGGCAGCGACGACAGAGTGAGCGGCCGCATCATCAGTCAGGCCCCTGGAATCGAGTTGGGTTAGTTAGTCATTCACGGTGGCAAAATTCTCATTCCGCCCTGGGGCCGGTGAGTGGGCGGACGGCGGAAGGGCAGCCTTTGGCCTTTTTAATGTACTCGATGATATTCAATAAATATTTTCGACCCTCGGAAGAGGTTATTGATGTTAGCCTTTGATTTATTCGTCAGCAATTCGGGCTGAATGCGGGGAATTGATTGAATATTTCGGTGTAATTTAAGAACTTTTATAAAACTTGAAGCAGACTTTTTCTCTTCTCTTAAATTGTAAATTAAATTAATAAAGAAAATACAATTTAATTGAAGAATATATACCTCGATAGGAGGTTCTACTTTGATTTACTCCTATTAATTGCCAGAAATTGATTAAAAAATGTTTTCTATTTGAATAAATGTGTGTCAAGCCATTGGATATTTGCAATTGCGCCCTGTTAATTACTGCGAGTGTAGAATGAACATAAATATTTCCCATAAATTGAATTCGACAAAAGGAAATTGTGTTAAAAAATTATGCATTTGCCACATTTAATTGAATTCTGAGCATGTGGTATGCATTTTTCATATGGATACGACAGGGTCCAGCCTGCAACAAATTCAATTTGGATGCGTGTGCACCCACACATATTCGTTATTATAAAGAATTTAATTACAATATATTCTCATTTTGTTAACTAACCTCTCCGCACCGCCTACACACAGGGTGTTCCTGCGCGACGTGGTGGAAACGGCCAACGTATTCATTAAAATGATGGAGCGCTTTTGCCAGGATTCTGTGGTGGTGCAGGACAAGCGGCGTGGAGGAGGAGCCGGTGGCCGGAAAAAGAAACAGCTGGCGGCCAAGTCCAAACCAACGCCAACGGTCCCACAGCCCACTGAGGTAAGTGGAAAATGGAAAATTGCATTCTGGTTTTCAGTTTGGAGAAAAATAAGCCAATTTAAGTTTTAGTTTACTTTCTTAGATTTAATTACAAATTATTAACTTAATTAAATAAACTTGTGGGTGATAATTCAGTCAAGGATTTAAAGAAAAATAAGTCTTTAGTACATTTTAAATATAACATGTATAAAAAGCTTGGAAAGTTGAAATTTAAGTACATTTAAATACAAAGTTTCACCAAAAAAAAACCAATTTGAATCCACTCTGGCCAAATGTGAAAATAAGAACCGGCCTGATATATGCGCTGTTTAATGTTTTAAAAATAAATTGCCGCATTAAATAACTTTATTTGGGCCTGCTGGTCAGCAGCACCCGCTGTGCCAGCCATAAAATATACCCTAAATTGCCAATAAAATTTTAAACGAATTGCAAACAAAAGCGGCAAGAGAAGAAAACGCAGAAAAAACAATTGTCGTCTATGCTGTGACCGTTTAAGATTTATGTGTTTGATCGTGAAATTTAATTGACTGAAAATATGGAAGGAAAAATAAAGGAAGAGAAGGAGAAAACCTGGGTGGAGTCTGGTCCAGCGAAGTTTCCATTTTATTCAATTTTTACTTCAAAGGTTTTCGCCGGTTATTTGTGTATTTTCTACTCCGTGTGCGTATTATTTTCGTGGTGCACACAATTGCATGTGACCTTAGTCCACGCACTCTTGCGCCTGCGGAAAATGCGGAAAACTTTCGCTGGTGGGGGCTGTTGCCGGGCTTCCGTTGTTTTTCCGCCGCTTTGATCCTTTTCAAGCTGCTGCTCAGCCCTGCTTTTGTTTTATTTTCTCAGATACACTTGCCAAAGGGTTATATTTTGTGTAAACAAAGTTAGATTTTGGTCACTAAGCACGTGCTCTAATTAGTTGATTTATAATTTGGTTTGCAACTAAAACCAATGGACTAATTCATTAAAACTGAATATTAATTATTAGCACTTTCCTAATTAATGCTTAATCTCTGGCAAATAAATAAACCAAACTCTAACCTTTTGCTCTCGAATAAATTTACTAATTACGCTTGGCTAGTAATTTATTTACATTTAATTAGGCTTGAAAATCTACACCATGTTAAATCAGGGTGAGGTTTTTAGAATACTTTTATACTATTTATTCTTTTGGCAAGTGTAGGTGTACCTGCGACACATTGGTGGGGAATTTTCAGTGGGCTTTGTTTGGCAGCACCATGTCCCTTACAGTTCCTAGCCAGCTTTTGTTTTTTCCACACTTTGTCGCGTTGGGACAGGACGCACCGCTGAGCGTGATTTCCGGCCACTGGCCACTGGACTTTCAGCATTCCAACCTCCGAATGCCGACTGCCAACTGCCGGCTGCCAGTTTCCACAACCATTTGCAACTGCAACCTCGAAAAGCTTGGCATTTGCTGTGCATTTTTGTGGCCGTTGATTTGGGCCTTTTGTGCAGGGACATGGACATGGGCAAGATTAATTTTTGTTCTTTGCAACAACCTTCGATTGTGTTAATTTTTCACGTATTTATTTGTATAGCTGACGCTGGTGCGGGCCTGCTATTGTTATGTGTTGTGAACTGGCACACGCACACGCATTCGAAGCATCAATTTTTCAACAATTAATTTATAAATATTTGTCATTGCCGGACGAGTGAAAAACATGACATACGCACACAGGCGCAAATATTTGCATGTTTTCTCCCCTTTCAACAAGCAAATGTTAAACGAGCGATAAACAAAACGGATGAAATTGTGTAACGTGTACAATAAGCAAACCTCAAATAAAATAAAACGGGGGGAAAAAAAACGGGAGTCAATTGTTGAGACTGTCAGATACTTGCTACTTGGATTTACAATTAATTTGTTCTTATTTTTAAATAGCAGATATACTTGCAAATTAAATTCTTAATAATGTTCTTGCAACATATTTTTAACAAGATAGGAAACTAACTTAGGGAAGCCGAAATTTGAATACGCTTGCTCATGACATCGAATCAAATCGAGTCAAAAATGCATTCATTTCAGCTTTAAGAAAGTTTAAAAATATGCTCTCTAAATTAAGACTCTGTTAATGCTATTCAAAAATATATAATATATATGGGGTCCACTCTTGCTTAGCAAACTTCTGACTAAAATAATAATACCCTGCAAAATCTTAACTCTTATGCCACCATTTACACATATAGCCCATAAATACCCTAGATAAATAGTAATTTTCCCTTGCCAATGACTTTACAATGAAATTTTAATGAAATAAAAATACTTTACCATATGTGACGTCCTTGTATTTAGAAGGACATTGTTCATCGATGTTCAATTAATATGCATTGTTAAAAGCTCAAGGCAAAAAACGCCAACACAATGATTTAATGTAAATATAAATCTGAAAAAATATAAATTGAAGTTAAGGAATACTCTTTAAGTACTGATTTTTATGATAGTTTAGATAGCTTAATAAAATTAATATACTCACAAAGAATACTAAATAAATCCTACAACTTTTAAGATAGATGAAGCATTGAATTAACATTTAACCAACTTTAAAAACCAGTTAAAAAATATTAACAAATGTGTTGTATATTTCACTTTTTTCGTAATTAAATCCATTCTTGGACAATAAAGAATAATTAGCCAATTGCAAAGCGAAATACAAATGCCTGTGGGCATTCCGAGTAAAGAGTGCTAAAATTCCAATTATTAAAACCATTTTATTTGCATTTTAATCTCTAATGGAATATGTTCATTCCATTGAATGTTCTTTTTTTTTGCTTTTTAGTTTTTCTGTCACTGGCAAATATGGCTGACAAGTATTAGTGCATATTTGGTTATAATTATCACTGCCTATATGGTATAATTAATTTTGCACGTTATGACTAATTTCCCTTTGTGATTATCCATTTGCAAACAATTGGGTCTCACTAATAATTTATTAATGCATAATTGCAGGAAGAATTGTCGAGCAAATGGGCCGAACTGGCGACGGAAGTGTGCAGTCTGTTGGCCACCGAAATGGAAATGCCGGAGGACGAGCTGCCGGTGCCCTTTGACGCTGCCTCGGAAAAGTCCATCGATGATCAGCGGTGAGTTAGCCGAGAGTTCAACCAACCACAGACTCCAGTTCGATTTCCCATTGTCCAACGTGCTCTTATTATGTTTCTTGGATTTTCCCCATTTACAGCGAGGATTGCATGATCCGCATAAATAAACTGCTGCGTTCCGAGAAACTGGACCAGGCCATCGCCCTGCTGCGGGCCGCCAGGTGAGTCGACATTAAAAATGCCAAGGGAGTTGCCAGGACAGGACGGCTGGCAGCCGCCTGAACTCTCGGTTGTTAGGCGGCCCCAGACGTAATCCCTTTGAAAGTCCCACTTTTAATAACTTGACATTGACTGGGCCACGGGAAAGGTACGAAAGCAATTCGCATAATAAATTAACTCTAGTGAAAACGGGGAAAAATCCGCTTGGCTTGTGTCCTTTTGTGCACCTCTGCTGGCTGGCTTTTTATCGAATTTTATTTTGCCGCTGTTTATTTTTCATATTTTTCCCCCACGGAGACACGACGCTGTGGGCTGTGTGCTGGGTTGCCCCTCAAATTAAATAGTTTTTATTTATTGTTAAGGCAGAGCACGCCGGCACCACGGTAACTACAGATAATGGCTGGGTCCGGAATTCCATGTCCTTGCTCTCCTTTTTTCCCAGATAATAAGAGTTGGCGGCGGTGCTCTGCATTTCAGACAATTTCTCAGTGCCCGGTTTTTGTCCCTGCCGCCTGCAATTTTTCAGTCAACAAACCGCACTGTTGGCCAGGTGAGGAGACAGATCAGAGGCTTCGCTGAGCAGAAGCAGGAGAAGGAGCGGCAGCAGCATCACCAGCTCCTCTGCGCTTGCCTTTCAATTTAATTGCCCCCTCAATTATGTAAAGCCCATTGAAGACGCGCTCAAGAAATGTTTATTGTTTGCTCGGGAAAATTGCGTGAAAATAATTTATCTTTTGCGCGTCAACATTTAAATAAGACCAATGCCACCCGCACACACACAGAACACAGAACCATGGCCCGAATCGGCAGATGTCGCAGTGTCAAAGGCTGTCCCGAGCAATCGAAAACGTGGCTTAAATATTTCCAAGTCATTTAATTACAACCTCATTAAAATTTTCCACCTGCTGCCTGCTGGTTCTGGTCGGAGATGGGTCCGCCTCAAAGGGATCCAATCGATGGCATCTGTAAATAGAGGGCTCTGTAGCTTTTAAATTGATGGGAGGTGTTATGGTATATCGAGAGGATATACATTGATATATTATCGATACAAGTATCTAGTGTAGCAGAGATGATATCAAAATAATACTAAATTTAAATTGAAAGATTATTAATTTACTTTTATTTTATTTCGTTTTTTTTTAAATATATAGATAAACATTATTGCCCTAAGAAATCGATGCAAATATCGAATTAAATTAAATATCAAATTAAATTAAATATCGATTTATATTTAAATATCGATGCACATATCGAAACAATTTTTAAACCATCCTTACTTTATGGAAGATATGGAAGTGTTGCCCCTGAGAAGCCTTTTTCATGATGTACTCGCCTTTTTGCGTTTGTCAAAACTTCCTTACAATTTATGTACATTTTAATTGTTTTCAACGAAAATTGCTGCATTAAAATGTATACAATTTTTGGTATGCCTTTTGGCTGCTGCTCTTGCTGCTGTGCTGCAGTGGCAGCTTAAAAAGGTCTAGACGCTTTTTGTGCTAATAAATTAAAATGCGATATGCATATAGAGCTTGCACCCACTGCCTTCACCGCCCACGGCCACGGCTCCGGGCTTCCACTGCCTCGTCTGGCCATTGTCTGGGACTTTTTTGTGCCCCGTTGCCTAGCACTTGGAGACCAGAGGGTTACACTCACTTTATTTTGTATACCCTAAAAAGGAGTTTGAATAATTTGTTTTGTAGAAAATGTTGTAATTTTTAGAACATTTTTAAAATTATATTAAAGGTAAATAATGAGGACACTTTTCTTATACTCTTTAGTTAAAACTCGTATAACTTATACTTCATATTGAATATAGATACAAGTTAACACGTTTTCTCATAAAAATTGTAGTTTTAATATCAAATAGAGTTAGTTATTATTACAATAAGATCATTAATGAGATGATTTCACTTCATACATATATATCTTATTTATATAATTTAATTTAAATGTATCCAGCTCGGATAAAGTACAACCACGTATGAATAGCTAAGAATTATTTTTTCTTAAAATTTGTATCTATGAAGTAAAAAGGGTTCTTTTTTGTACCGTTTACACCAATCTTTCGGATATACTCTTTGTTTTTAACCCTTTTTATCCCATTCATTTACTCTCTGGCTGGCAATGAGAACATTTTTGGTGAAACAAAATATTGAAAATAAACTGGAGTCTGTGAACGGGACACGCACATAAGCACATCCATATGTGTCTGGTTCGGCATGTATGTACGTATGTAAGTGCATTGTGGGTGATGTCTCTAGTCTGTGTGTGTCTGTCCAGAATTTTTAAATACTTTTTTACTTGCCAAGTCTCACTATTAGGGGTTTCCATTTAAGGGGGGATATACATGTAAGCGGTCAAAATTTGGCCATTTTTCGTGAATTTTTTTTTATAAGAAATAGTCAAGCAATCGTCGTGAAACTTTGGATATAGTTAAAAGTAGAATCAGAGATGATAAAAAAAATTAGTTATAAACAATATTTTACAAAATGGCGGACTTATGGAACATATGCCGTAGCGCCTCGAGCTTTGATTTGCCGTGCTATGGACACGATAGAGCTCGTAATTCCAGTCCGAAATCCGTAAACTAAATTTTTTTGTATTCATTACACCTTTATCTTCTATTTGAACCTAAAAAACCAAAAAGAAATCAAGACAAAAAAAATAAATTTTGATTTCAAGGAAAAAATGCCATTTTCAGGTGATCAGTTTTCACTTCCCACCCTCTTAAAAAATAGTAATACTCAGTTTTATAACAACCATGTAGGTTCAAATAGAAGATAATTTCATGCTGATTATAACAATTTTTGATTCACTCCGATATGTTACATAGTTTTTTGTGAATCGTGTCCAGAGCATAGGTAGAAATGCAAAAATTAGAAGCTGAGAAAAAGACGTTTAAAGTTTTTGGTGCGCCCACGTTAACACTTGTGAACCTTGCGTGCATACTTGATTTGAGGCACTTAGAGTTGGAATTCGATAATGAAACTTACACACTATATTCTTTAAATAATAAACTATTTTTTAAACCAAAAAAAAAATTTGCCCAACAAATTTTGGTTTACATGTATATCCCCCCTTAAGTTAAGCAAAAGGGAGGAAGGACAAAAAACGAATTGGTAACATCTCTGGTTGCTTTTGCTTTCTCGACGTTGGCTTAATGGGTGCCCAGAAATATCAGCGTGGAAAAAAAGAAACTTTTAAGTGAAGTAAATGCGCAAAATGTTTATTCAAACTTCACTTCGACTGCAAGTTTCAGTTCTTTACCCGCCGCCCGCCTGCCCCACTAGTTCGCCTTTTAACTAAGCTTATTTAAGCGTCTGCTGATGCGCTTATTTAGCATAGCAACGGCAAGTCCCGCTCTGGCCTTTCATTTCCCCGGTTTTTATTCCGCTCCTGCCTTTGCACATCTCTTGTTGATTCTGTTGACTGGAAATATTTAGCATTTGCAGCTCTTAAGCTGGCGTACGGTCCTTGCTTTGCCAATTCAACAAACATTCATTAGTGCCGTTGCTGGAAACTGAAGTTTATAAAATTCACAACCAAAATCCCAATCCCACGGCTATAAGCTGTGGCTGCAGAAAATCTCTTTAATTAGGTTCTATCTTAGTTTTCTTAACAAGAAATTCCCTTTTATTTATTAACTATCGATAGAGAATAATAAATTTCATGCTTTTTTTTTTGTAATGTTAACCGTAAAATTGAAAAACCAACAATAAACTTATCAAAAGAACGTTTTTACGTATAATTTAATTAAATTTTACTTTACATCAAATAAATTGAAAAAGGAAAGTAAACCAAGTGAAACTAAATATATTCCGTTTTTTTTGGAAATATTATTCTTTACTATTCCCCCAACCCATCTCTTTTATAAACCTTTGCAAATTTAATACTCAAATGCCCAAAAATAACGAGCAAAATACCGAAAAATGTATTAAATTTCATTATGTGGCTTAAATAAATTTTCAGCGCTGAATTTCTGGGCAAACACCTGGGGTTTTAGTGCACATAATCCAGCATTGGCCAGCATATCGATTCATAATTAATCCGGTATATTCAATGTGATTAAAAATGCTTAGCCTTTCTATAGAATTTTTCCCCTATGTATTTCCTTTGCAGCTCCAAAATAAATAGTTTATCTGTGCCAGCCAGCAGAACAATATGGAGCATAATCGAACTAAAAAGCCAAAAGACCCAACCATCGACCGCGCCCAATGGTTTTCATAGATTTTGCCTGGTCTATAATTAACCAATGTTCGTCCCTGACCAGGATGCAGCCGTGCTAAAAACCGCTAATTATCGCCAGGCCGCATCGCTGTAAAAGTTGCACACAAAATATGTCGCATAACTTTTCAAAGAGCGCACGCAAATGTTGACGTAAACCGAAAAATTCTGGCCACCCAGCAGCAGCCCACATTGCTACATATATGGCGCATTATTGTATCCTGCTGGTGGCCAACTAACGAGCTCTGAAAAAGAGACCCGCAGGATTACAAACGAACGCTGAAGGCTTCGCCTGCCAGGATGGGGGATGCGTGCTGGGGGGCGTGGCCATGGCCATGTCAGTCAATTTATTGGCCAGGGCGACAGCGGGAAACATAAGTTGCACTATCGCCTACAAGCACGGCCACAAATAAGCATAAATATGTCGCTTAGAGATACTTACTTTCTCTTTTCTGTTCCGGGTGTGCCTGTGTGCCGCTGATACGGCACCCAAGAACATGGCATGGTGGGCAAGGACACTATACTACAGCTTTAATATATATTGTATATTATATTCTGAAATTTTGTTTGCAAAAAATCTGAAGTAAGAGCACTTTTAAACCCTTTTAAACATGTTTAAATCGCATATTTCCATAAAAAAAGCAAAACAAATCTTTCCTGTCTAGTGTAATTAGGTAAGGGGAAAACTCCCAATGGTTCTGCACTTTTATTTGGGACTCCATCTCTTCCTCGTTATGTTTTTCCTGTGCGTTGCATATTAAGCTGCTTTCAAATATTAAATTAACAGCAGCGGCAACGTTGCGAAAAGCCTGAAAGCGCCGTTGCATCATCAGAATGGTGGGGATTATTTGTGAGTGGAAGAGAAAAGGGAAGACAGCAAAAGAAGCCACCCAGGAATACACACACACACTCACAACATGTGCAAATGCGTTGGCCAAGAACGGGCGCGGTGTGCATCCTGGACGCAATTTTAAACGCATCAATTTCAGTTTGCCCAGGACCACCACAGCACCGAAAGCGCTCCGATTTTTGCAACATGACGTGGCGGCAGGCTGCTGCTTGTTATTTCAGCTATTGTTTTTACTGACGCTCGCTCCGGCAGGATAATAACGATTCTATGGGCCGGACCTCTCTCTGCCATAGAGTTATGCTTGTTGAATTTGCGGGGAATTTTCGACTAAATCGAATCATTTTATTAAGCTGGCAGCAAGCAATGCAAGTATTAGCTTTTGACTGCCAGTTTGCCATAGTTTGGAATGGAGATTAAATTGGAAATTTGGCATTTACATGGAATTTTATTTGCTTCTTTATTGGGCTGTGGCACAGGAATTGGAATGAACTGATGATCGATTGCTAATCAATGCGAAAACAAAGAGTATGAATTGTAAGCATGCAATCAAAATGAATTGATCTTTTGCAAGTTAAAAAGAATGCACTAGTAAAAATAAATTTCTATATTTAAGAAAAAATTGCACTACAACTAAGAACATTTTTTTTAGAATTAAGAAAAGGTTTCCATGAATTTAAGGCAATGAACCATAAAATCGAGGAAAGTCACCATTAATACAAAATTTGTACAGTTAGTTTCTTTTATTTTTCTCAGATTTAGGGCGTTTTATATCTGATTGGCTTCCTCTAGTTCCTTTCTTGATATAAGGGTCAATTTTCTATGCGAAAAATCTCACATGTTTGCACATATAATTCCCAACTGGTTCTAACATCCCTGAAATGAAGTAGCGGTGGCCGGTCTTATGTTTATACATGTTAGTGCTATTGACTTAATTGAGTTAAAAGTAACTAAATTTTTTCTTAAATTAAGAAAAATTGTCCTTAAATTTAGAAAACAGTTAAATAGCCGTAAAACTTCGAAAATCTTTATAAATGTAAGATGAATTCTCCTTTAATTTGATTAAACTTCTTCCCATATTTAAGGCAAATCATTTAAGAAAAAACGGCCCACCTTTGGCTTATTTTAAATTTAAAATTTATATTTTAGGTAAAAATTTGTATGAGTGTGGGATTGTATGGATTGTGTGGATTATTACGTGATATACCAGTACTATTACATTCTAATTTAACAACGTTTCTTGCTGTCTTTATATACTTATTTCAATGTTTAGTTTAGGTAATAAAGTTTCCTGTTTGGCCCTCTCCCTTTCACTTACTTAAATTCAATTTATTTTTCTGCTTTCCCTCTAACGCATTTATTTATTCTTATTCCGTAGGGAAGTTTGGCCCGAGAACGATGTGTTCGGTGCAATTTCCGCTGCACCGGAAGACGAGCTGCTGCTGCTGCGTGAGATTTTCATGCACAACATTACAACAGGTGAGTGCCAGCAACAAGGAAAAAAATAATATAAAATATTGTGAAAACGGTCACCGAGGGGGAGCGGTGAAAAGCGGGAAAATCCACCCCGCTGCCAACATTTTAATTATTGTTTATTACTATGCATTATGGAGGAGCATGCTCGCACAACCTTCGCCTGACCGTTGTTTTAATTAAAAATGAAAATCTGCCACTTGGCTTTTGCGTGTCATTTATCTTGCGCTGTCTGTGGCCCTCGTCCTGCGTCCTGCGTCCTGCGTTCCGTGTCCTGAGTGCTGCCTCGTGCAGTCCATGACTGCCTGCCCCAGTTGGGGCCACTTCCGGTGCAGCATTTTGCATCTCTACTCTATAAATTTGCCAGCTGAAATAAGCCAAATTATAGCGCAACTTTCAGTTCTGTCTATCTGTCTGCCGGTCTTTTTCTGTCTCTGTGTGTGTGTGTGTGTCCTTGTTGCATTGTCTAAGTTTTTTGCAGGCCCCGTTTTGGCTTTTTGCCTTGCTGGCCAAGAAGCCTCGTCCTTCGGGCCGCCAAAGTTCGCTTAACAAATTATCCAACAGAAATTCTTGCGCTTCATTAAAAGTAAAAAATGAGGCAGCGGAGGACTAGCGTCCCCACTCCTGTCCCTTATCCTTATTTGCGCTCTGCTCCTGGCCTGGCAGCTCCCCGGCTGCCTGGCTGGCTGGCCGGACTAAATGAAAATATATTAAACGCGTAATTGTTTTATTCCATTTTTGTTTTCCCATCCTGCCAAGTGCATTGGCTTGTGAAATTCCTGTTGTTTGCCTTCGTTCAATTTGAAAGTCAGCGAAGCGTTGACAATTTGCCCTCCGTATTCCATCCTGTTTTCCCATTTTCCCAAATATATATTTATCTTATTTTTGACATGACTTTTCAATTTGCCTTCGGTGCACCTGAAATGCAGGAGCCGCGTGATTCTGACTTTGTTTAGACAAAAGCCATTAGGTTCTGACAAGCTCTCCGTCCGTCTTCGACTGCACATATCCATATGTTGCATCTTCGGTTCGGTACAGTCCCCTCCCTGTGGTTGTTTCTTATCGCCTCAGTGCAGTTAGCTGTTTCAGTGACTTTGGCAGCGCTGAATTTGAAGGCTACAGTGGCAGGGAAAACTTTTTGACAAGCACTTTAAAACGCATCCATGGCTGACACTTTTTTTTCCTCTCTTTTAATGAAATATATACAATACTGGGAGGATGTCGCAGCCAACGGAAAAGTTTCCAACTTTTGCTGCGCCGTGCAGTTAATCGAGATTTTTGTGTGCGAAAATTTATGATTTCCGCTCGAGAAGCAAACTTATATCAAGGCTTTTTGTGCTCGGCATATATATCGGATTTGGTCTTTAAAGAAAGAGTTACGAGCAAAGTGAGCCAACTTTTTTGATAATAAACTTTGAGCATAAAGTGATAAAATCCAATAATTTGAAACAGTAAAGGAATTTAGGCCACAGTTTAGGTTGTTTTTATATTAAAAAATTAATAATAAACTATTATTTTAAGGTTTAATCTCCTCTAAATATAAATATGTTAGTGAAATGGTGAAATATATTCTTAAATTAAAAAAAAGGTTTTGTTTCCTGGTAACTAAATTTAGAAAAAAAGCATAATGTCCTTATTAATTAATGACATATCATGAACTATATACGAGCTATTAATATGAATTTGTAACCTGAAGTTAATTTTACTATTAAATACCCCTGTAAAGATAGTGCTATTAATTTTTAAGAAGATCCAAAATCGATATGCTTTCTCAGGAACATCTATATAATTGCAAATGCTCCCCGAACGCCTTTGTCTGATAAATTTAATTAAGTTTCAATTTAAAGAAACACACCCATATTCCTTTGCAAATGAATTGAACGAACAAACCAGGACAACAATAGGTCTGGTTTGTGGTGTGCGTGCGTGGATGAGGTGCGCATCCTTTTACGGTTCAGGACCGTGTCTGTGCCTTGGAGCGCCTGCCATGCGATTCGTCCGTCGGCTCGTCCCTGGGTCCACATGAAAGAGTCCTGTCCGGTTCGGTCCGTCCGCCCGAAACGCAGTGCTTAAAGCATTTGAAACCCTCTTTTGTGTCTGCGTCATCGGTTTTATTTATTTTTTACCCATCGAGCGGGTTGAGCTCGTTAAGCTCCCGGACAAAAAGCGTGACCCGTTCGTTCTAACAGCGACCAGGGGATTTGACGGGCAGCTTAACGCCCGCCGGCCGCCAATAGATTGATGTTCAGTTGACAGTTTTGCCGGCTGCAACAATATGCAATTTACCAAAGGGCCGCAAAAAAAGTGTATATGTAGTATCTCTTCCCCACAAATTTATGTAAAATGCTCACACTAATGTCGGGCCATAAAAACACAGAATCAGTCCCCAAAGTGGCCACTGAATGGCACTGTATTGTGCCTCTCTCTTATCTCTCACTCTCTGTGTTTTTGTCCTCGAACATTTTATTAATTACCGACAACCACAAAGTTCATGTAGTATGCTCACTGCCTGTGGTTTGGCTTTAATTAATATTTTTTACGTGACATACCCTTGAAATGGCAGTGCATATTAGCTTTATGAAAATGGTGAATTAAATATTTATTTAATATACATATTTATGAATTCTTTGGCAGTGAATCAAAAATTGAAATATAGAAATTATCGAGTTGAATTTACTGATATTATAAAACAACATTTTACTTAATTTACTTCTTAAATCATGATCCTTAAATATTGATTCTTTTTGATTCTTAAATCCCCATAATTCGATGCTCTTTCCCATTTATTTATTTAGTCATTCCATTGGCTTTAATCGAAACTGAATCGAGCTACACCCTTCACATTTAATTAATTCACTTGATATTAATTTGGCTTTGTGTAAGCCGCCCCGGTCGATTGGCAAGACAAACGGCAAGTGCATTGACACTTTGCATAATTTACAGCACATGTGTCTGTGCTCGTACCCCTGCATATCGGATCCTTTGTTTATGCAATCCTTGTTTCAATTTCAAAATGTAATGCAAACTTAATTCCGGAGAAAGAGGGCAAGGAATGGCAGGAGGTGTGAGACTGTGCTGCATGCGAGTCTGTTTGCTTAGTTAAATCTTAATCAAGTTGCTTCGTTGATTTCGATTTGTGGCGCGCATAATAAATGAGAAGTCGTCCTTTGTCCCTCCGTTTCCGCATCGTGCCTGCCCCTCTTGGCGAAGCCAAATCAACGCCCAGGACTCGTACAAAAATAACACAAAAATCCACTCAAGTGTTAAAACAAGAACAACAAAAAAGTGCCGAGCGCTAACGGGGACAGTGAATATATTTGTATATATTGCTGTGCCAGTGTGTTTGTGTATGTGTGTGTATTATTTCAAGTCCTGCCAAGTCTGTGCGCCAAGTCCTTAACTGATTTCCCAGCGCAAACAAGTTGGTCTCTCCAGTTGTCGTTGTTTTCGTCCCGTGTCCTGTGTCCCCTATCCCCTGTCTCCTGTCCCCTGTCTCCAGGCCCTGCTCTTTGTCTCGCATAAAAATACAAAGTTTATGTTATGAACACAAATAAAAACAAAAGCACACAACAAAGCTCGTCCAAGAACAACAGAAAGTGCGCAAAAAAATACGAGCCAGGAAAGGAATAAAATACAATAAAATGAAATAAAATATCCACAACACAGCGCACACACAGCAAGAACAGAGTCATTTGGACACAACTGAAGTTTACACTGTGAAAAAGTTATATAAACTTTGTAACATTCATCTAAGATTCCATATTTCTAAGGATTAAATCTTAAAATATTATATATTTTTTGAGTTTTAACAAAAAGTATAAAGTGACTTAATAAGTCTGTAAAAACATAACATATAACCTCAAGGTAAACCAAAAAATGAAGCCAAAATGATGCCTTAATTATATTAAATTAAAATTTCTGAGACAGACAACTTTCCTCTGAGTGTAGAAGAAGTCCCATTCCCCCCTTTTAGCAGTATATTTGCAAGTTGACGTGTCGTGTCTGCTGTCCCCATTTTCCAAATCCAGTGGCGCAAAGAGTGCGATACCAGACGTCAACCACAACACCCGGCAGCACTCAGTCAGAGACACATATAGTATTCTCAGCTCTGAGTTCCGGATCTGGGATGCGGATGGTCCGGTGATGACACTTACTCAATTAGGCGACTTGGCCCGACACTGATTTGCCTTTCAGCTGGCCATTTTTATTGGGTCATAGTTTTCTGTCTTAATAGCTTTCTATTCGGTTACCTTGATTAGATTGGATTAGATAAGTCGATTGTGTTGGCTTTTCATCACTCAGATTGCAGTTGGAGTTTTTCAATTTAAATAATAATTATTCAATTATTATTACAGGAAAGCAATTTCTTTGTTTATCAACTGAAGAATATAGGATATTCAAAATTTATAGTACCTTGCTGAGCAGCTTCAATTTGAAAAAGAATTACCTTTAAATTTTTACTTTGCCTTCTGATTGGATTCATTACATTTAAAATAAAAAAGTAGCTACAAATAGTTTATTTAATACAACATATAGTTTATGGTTCCTGTTGGAATCGGCACAGGCTTTACAGCATCCGATTAAATTTACTTATTGCTGGATTTTTTGTGCCCTTGTGCCTTTATCCCTGGCTTTTTGCTCCGTCCATTCGGCCCTGTGTTTTTTCTACTATTCATAAATAAATACACACAAACCACACCTGTGCTCTCACTTTCCTCCTGGGATTTTGGGCCTCAAACTGCCGGACACAGTTGGTGGCAATGACATTCAAAATATTTAATGCGAAAAAGTAACCGAAAAAATTTAACTTTAAATTAGTTGCCGGGTGTTCGGCGGGACCTTAGGAAAAGGAAAAACTTGTCATGTGTGCGAGTGGAATTTTACCTCTGGTAAACATAAAACGTTGCATACTTTGGGGACACTCGCTGGCAACTGGGCGACAATAAAAAGCAAGCAAGGCGAGGAGACCCGATGGAGAGCTATTGAAAGGGGTTGAGTGTAGAGCAGGAGTCATAACGAGTGCAAAACCATGAAATGAAATCGTTACCGTCCCCATCCCCAAATGGTTTTGAGCGAGGAGCGCAGTCAAATGTAGGAAAAAATGTAGGTAACACTAGGCTGGATTAGAATACCCTTGTTTTTATAAAAAGTTAAGCAGTATTGTATTATTTCAATTATTTCTTCATTTTAAAAGTTACCAAGAAAACCACTTTACTTTTAAAAATGCCAAAGTTTACTTTTTTTCTTATTAAATAAGAGTGTTTGGGTTCCTGTACAAGTATTTCCAACCTTCAATTTCAACCCTTTAAAAATGTACAAGTATTTCCAATCTTAAATTTCAATCCTTTAAAAATTTCTCTATAGGTATTTACAGTTTTTATAAAAATTAAATCACCTGTTTTTCACCTGACATTTTTGTAAAGATTAAATCGCCATTTTTTTACGAATATATTTATTGGATTGCAAACTTTCGGGAAAGTTGAAAATACCCGCTGCAAGCGTATAAAAACTCAGGGTTTATTGTATAATGTGAGCTCGCTTTTTTTACATTTGACATTCGTAAGAGAGTCTGTGTGTGTGTGTGTGTGCTAGTGTGTTGGGTGTGTCACACATGGCTCCGACACCCTCAGGATCGCTGCTCCTTGTTCCCTGCTCCCTGCACGCACTTGGTCGGCTGATGATGAGGGCGGGGGCGGGGCCTGAAATTAAGCAATGTGTCCCTAGAGTGCACTACGTTGCGTATACGTAATGTGGCCGTGCTTTTTGGCGGCGCTGCATTAAAAATGAATGCAATTTAAAGTTGCCGCCAGGCGGCGCCCACCCCCTTGGTGTATGGCTATCTGTATATGGGCGTCCCCAAGCACATCAAGAACCCGCAGAATTTTTTGCATATTTAAATGAAAAGCGAAAGCAAAAAAACAACAAGTAAGTTTGGCTTCCGTTTTTTTTTTTTTTCTTGTTTTTTTGTTCAGCTTGACTGACGCTAATGGAGCACCATTTGGCTGCACTGCTCCGAAATCAATTAGATAAAGTTTTTCCCCAGCTGCGCTGCTCTCTAACAAAATACAATAAAAAAAATTTTGCTCAAACAAAATCAAACATTTTTCACTTTAGTTTGGGCAACCGGAGCAGTAAATTGCATAAAAATTAACAGTTCAATGGTTGCCCGGGCAATTATTCCCTCTCCTTCTCTTTTTCCTTCTCATTTTCGTCCACTCTTCTGGCTCATTAGTGGAGAAAAGTGGACCAACGTAGAGTGGTTATACACTGGGGAAAAATAAGCTTAAAAGTATATGTAAACATTTTGGAGAACTGGAAAATTGGGTGCCACATTTCTGTTGGCTGAAAACTTTGTAGAAAATGTTATCCCTAAATACCTCATTTTGTAAATATTTCATATAAGCTTATAAATTAATCCATTAAACACTTTTTTTCTGATGTAACCTAGAACATTTTTCTTTTTGCCTCCTTTACCTGTGTCCAGTGCTTATTTGGGTTAATCAGATTGTGTCCCTGTGGCCTAGACCTGGCATCAGTCAAAAGGCAACTGCATTAGCCGCTGACATGGCACTTATGAACCAGCGGCAAATGGGTTCGGCAAAAACTGAAAGAATTTTCTTTGCTCAAAGCAAAAACCTTTAAAACCGCACAAAGAAAGATATACAATATGACATTCCCTCATCAAACTGTCGCTTCGCCGTGTCCTGAATTCATCTGTTGACACAAATTTCGTTATATTTTTATTATTTTACCATTAACCTTTTTATTGCTCACGCATTTCGGTTAACGTTTCCGAATCCACACCCCGACCACATGAAGGAACTTTGATGTTATTGAATATTGTGTGTGTTGGCTGCGATGCAATATTGAATATTTAATTCCCGCCCGAACGAATGAATGTCCAAGGGCGCATAACAATTTCTTGACATGTGCGCCCTCAGTTCCCCGATGTGGCGACAGTTTTTCCTTTTCATTTTATTCCCTTCGCTGTTTTTCCCCGATGCCGACCAAGGAAACAAAAAGGCCGAGAGAACAAAAAGATGAAAACAGAAGGAAAAAAACAAGAAAAACCAATTGACTTTCATTTTGTCGGCCATTTTCACACACACACACACACACTGCCATTGATGTACATGTGAACGCTTCCTGTTGCTGAACGCAATCATCTGATTGCAGTTTCGATGTGAAATAATTGGATTTGAAATAAAAATGTTCCCCGTTCTGTTGGATATGTGGGTCCTGGCCATTGGATTTCCCCTCCTCCCCTGGGAATTTGTGGGGGGTTGGATGGGTATTTGTATTGGCATAATTTGGTCGTGGCTCCATTCACATTTGCGTCAAGCTTAACTGTCGCATGTGCCACTAATTTAACGTTTATTTTTATTGTCCTGTCCGCCTGGTTGGGTCTTCATTTTCAATATGTCATGACATCCTTAATCTTTAATGTTTTGTACTATCTGGATTTACGGTGCAGAAACTGTGTAGGGTTTACAGTAAATTAGAATACGCATTTTAATTAGTGAAACGAGTGCTGTAGGATTTTTTCAATATTTTTAATTTTAAAAACTGAATCAAGTGAACGCATTTCGTGCCGTTGAGCTTAGTAATAAGCCATGTTTGTGCCCTAAGCGCCGTTAAATAATTATAAAATTAAATGCAAAATTTAAAGCTCAGAAATAACAAAGCCGAAACCATTTCAGTAAAATTTTAAATAAATATCTATTGATTTGCTGTGCTCTCCATTGTTTTCCCCACATGATTTCGTCTGAAATGGCAGGCATTAAAGCCATTTTATTTACCAGCCTTCTTTGTCTTCTCATTTCTCCAAAAACTTCTTTGTTTCACTTTGCTTTTAATTGATATTTTCGTTTGTTGCCCAATACAATACTCAATATTTTTCCATTCGTCCATATTATTTCATATACATATATCAACTTAATCCCTCAGCCAAATGAAAATGCCAGAATGAATTGTGAGTTTTCTCATTCAAATTAAATTTCTCAATTTTATTATTTTCACATTTCTTCGGTTTCTTGTGTTTGCATTAAAATTGTGAGTTTTCGAGAAGATTTCATAAAATGTTTGCCATGTTTATCTTTACACTTTTAATTGCTATCCATATTTTCTATATCAATAGTACACGTCTCTTAACTCTAATGCTATTTTTCATACATATATATGTATATGTGTTATCAACCCTTTACGCTACGATTTGGCAGCACTAAATCTAACATTAATACGTAAGGTATATGCAGGACAGCTCCTCCTCGTCCAGCAAATATATTTCAATTCGAACAGCTACCACACACAAATATTGTTTGTTTGTTTGCCAGCTTGCCTCGGCTTTTTTCTCTACTTTCACATTCCGGTTTAGTTGTCTATTTACAAATACACACGAAAAATTATGCTGCAACTATTGTTTATTTTTACTTATTGAAATTTTTTTTGCCCCATGCATCTGTTTTTGAGAGCACCCAAAAGGCCGCCCACCCGTTGTTTAATTAAAATGCTGCGCGTCATTTTGGCTTAACTAAATATTTGCTGTGATTTTTGTAAATAGAAGTATTTGTTTAATAATTATTTGCTCGGCTTTATGCTGCTTCTGCGACGATTGTGTGTCATTACTTTGTTGCTGTATACATATCTATAAACGTATATATATATATATATATATATATATATCGATTTTAATGGCTAACGCTACAAACTGTACGTCAAATATTTGGCAATTAGTTTTTGTTGCTGTTATTGTGGGTTTTTATCGCATTTTACTTTGATTCTCGACAAATTAAATGCAAATATTAACATTACTCGAATTCTATTTTTCGTTATATTCCTTTGTTTTGCGTTTTTGCTGTTTTGTTGTAAATTTTAAATACATATTCTATGGAAATTGTACATGCAATATTCAGAATTGAAATGTTAGTTCAAGTAAACTCCGCTACAAGTAAATGTTAATAACTATAATTTACACTTTTGACGTTTCAATGTACAGAGCAATTAAGTTTAATTATTGTTTGCTATCCATACGGCCGAGATGTTTATTTCGATTTCTGTTTGCTTTTTCCCCTTCCGTCGACCACTTTTCGAGTCTGCCGCCCAATTATGAGCGTTATTTACGGTCCTAGCAACCGCCAACTGCCAACTGCCAACGGGCAACGGGGAACGACCAATGGCCAACAAACAAAAGGCAACTTATTTTCACATAATTTTCTAAATCGCTCCCATTTACGGCACCGAAATGTCGTCCAAAAGCCATTTAGCAGGCAAATAATTACGTCCTGGCCCGGACCAACTTTATTAACTGCGCAGGGAGACAAAAGTCCAGGGTCTGGATCCCATCACATACCGAGATTGTGCGGAATGCGAGCTCCAAAAGTGTCAAATATCGAATTAACTCATTTGAGTTGGTTCTTGGCTCTCGTCCCTCCCCTTCTAGATCCTTGAAAAATATCCTAAATCTTGGCCAGCTGGCCAGTGTCATGAGCAAAAAGTCGCCCAAAAAGGAAACCTTCATTAAATTTGACAATGCTCGAGGACTAAACCGGACCGGACTCTGGGTCACTCAACGCCCACCGCACACTCCGCTCTAGGGTTTCTTTTGTAGGCGATTTTTGTGCTGTGCTGGCAAGCTGAAAATAAAAAGGTTGCCCACCACCGCAACTCTCAAAAAATGCCTCCCACTGGCTCTACAACAGTTCGACACTTGCCCACTTGGAAGTTCCTTAATTAAGATTTTGTGCGTCCTAGCAGAGGAGGACGCCACTCGACTGGAGATGGAGACGGAGATGGAGACTCTCCTCCTAGCCATCTAATCCCACCCAATCGGGTGTAGGTTGTTGGTCAGCATTACTTTAATTGTTGTTCGGAGCGCTTTGTCGAGCATTTCGCTTTTGTGGCCGAAAATAAATCCTTCTGAATTGCTTAAGCGTACTTCGCTCGAACGCCTTTCAGCCCCCTGCTCTCCCATCAAAACTTGTATCTATCTACACTTGAGGGAAAGTACTAGTTCGAAATTCGGGTTACTAAATTTTAACTAGTTTCTGGTAAAGTTAGCAAGAGAAAATACAAGTACTTGGGTGTATTAGGATCAATTTTAAACTGACAAAGCGTAAAAAGTTACTGAAGAAATTTCAGACTTCTTCGTTAACTTTCAAATGAAAAATTGTTATTAAAAAGTGTATTTATACTAAAACGGAATCAGCTAATAGAACTAAATTTAAAACTGATATTCTGGTTAGTTATATTCTTCAGATATTTCAAATTTCTCTCATTTAATCCTAGAATTATGCCAAAATACAGCAAAAAGCTCTTAGATATTTTTCTGAGTGCTCTCTATCCAAAATCTAGCTTTCTCTGTTTCACTTTCTTCGACTGCTTCCTGTTGCTGTCGCCGCCTGTGTGCACGCGCCTTCTTCTTGTATTCCAATTACAAAGCCACAAAAAGTTGAAAAAGCTGTGCAATGACTGTGGTCCGTCCTTCAGGAGGGGTCGCACTCGCACTCAAACCATCCCCAGCCCAAGCCCAGCTCGGTTCCGTTCAGTTCGGTTTAGTTTAGTTCAGTGGTTGGGGTCGCAAGCGAGATTGTTGCACAAGTTTTTATCGTGTCTTAATGTAATTGTTGTGTTCTCGGTTCGTAAGACGTTCCCCGGACCATTTTGCCACCCTTGGAGACCCAGAGGCAGCCGCGTGTCCTGTAATTTGATTTGCTGCCACATTATTTTGATGTCCGTTAGATATACGTGAACGCGAGGCCCCCAAATAGTTTTACAACATTTCACTTTTGGCGTGGCGGATTAGATGTCTGGCCATTTGGCTGGATTTACACCATATGTTGTGCTGGTCAATTTGTAAAATGAGGTTAAGTGCGGGCTGATTCCCACCCTCGCACATCTTCCAACCCTCCACCAATGGGCGGGTGTGGAGAATGCTAGATGCCAGCGCAGATAGCCCAACACTTGGCCGACCGACCGAAGGGTGAACTTGCCGGAGGGACAGAGACGAAACTTTAATTAGATTGCAATTTAAACTCGGGAATCTGAAGCAGCTGGCAAAGTAGGTTAAGTTGTAGTCAAGCATCGAACATCGAAGAACAGGACGAGGGCTTAAAGGATTCTCAAAGCAAGTGGCAGAGGCTTGAAAGGTGGAAAGTTGGAAGAACAGTATATAAAATAGGTGCATCCTAGAAGCCCCAATAAAAAGTCTATTTAAAATTCGAAAAGCCAATTTGTTGTGTCACAAACAATGCCCACTTATGAGGCCTTCTCTCTGGCCATATTGATTTTACTCTCTCAACCAATTCCCGGCGATTTATCCGCCTTACTCAGCATCTGCCGCCACAACTTGTGATTACTGAATTGGGCCTGTCATAAACTAAATTGTTATTTAATACTTGATCGATATTTCATTTTTATATGCATGACTATCAAAACACTTAATCTTGGCAAACGGACAGGCACTTATATAAAGTTAACTGGCGGCCCGCACACGGCACTCGGCCAGTAAACTGACCCAAATACGACCACAAGATGGACATCGACTCCACTCCGTTGGCCGGCTCGAATGGCTCGTAAAAAGTTTGCTGGCGTTGGCTATTTGGCCGCCTGTCTACGCTCGTCGCCTTGCCAGGCTACACGCGGCGTATACGTAACAGAAATTTATGACAAATTGTTGCTGCTAACCGAATCGCTAAGAGGTCTGCAACGTGTGGGCGGCGGTAAGGCATCATAAATCAAGCCGGGGAGCCAACTTGAAATAATATATGTTCTGCTGTTGGGATATATATAGATCTTGGCAGCCATGTTCTCAGTTTCCCGGTTTCTAGTTCTCTGGAGAGTTTTGAAAAGTTGCATTTGAATGAAAGTGTCTATTCTGCTTATATATGGCTTGAAATATTTATGGGGTTTATTTAAGCTGAACTTTTGAAAGCGTTTCAAAGTTTTTAAAGTGGGGTTTTAAATGTTTTTGAGAAATTTAGAATCAAAGTGTTCTCTAGTTTCCCAACCCCGTTGCTAGTTGGCTTTTTGACTCATTTTGCAGATGACAGTTACCGGGCTTTTCCCTACTCTATTTCTCTACTGGAAGGGCGCGTATTGTCGCTGGCCGAAGACGGTTTGTCACCAAAGGCCCAGCCTCCGCGAACTAGGGGCCATCAGCCTGCTGCTCACCGATTTAATACCGACAGCCGTCGAGGACGCAGCTTCCGCTGTCGTGCCACCCAAATCAGTGGCAGCCATTCGATCCGCCCTTCTGGCGGAGCCGTTGACGGTACTCCTGCCGCCCAGCAACTCCATGGGCAGGCTAGGCATGGCGGCGGGCGGACTGCTGGGCGCCATTTCTATGTAGTAGCTGTCATCTCTGCTGGGCGAGTGCAAACTGCTGCGACTGCTGCTGCTGCCCGAGGTGGTGGACCCAGCGGAGGAGCACTTGTCCGCCAGCGAGGCGCAGTAGAATTGCTGACAGCGCTGTTGTTGTTGCAACTCGCGGGCCTGGAGATTGTGCAAAGGCGAGCTGTAAGGCGCCTCTCGCCGGGTGCTGTGATGCCACTTGTGCAGGCGGGCGGGATCCCCCGTGGAGTTTAGGGATCCCTGATAGTGCAGGAAGCTGTGGACATCATCGGTGTCGCCAAGGTGCCGCTGATGGTGCGGTCGCAGGTGACCGGAGCGATTACCTCGCTGCCAGGGCAACTCGCAGCGGTAGACATGCGCCAGGCCCGCCATCAGCACGACGAACAGGATGCAGGCCACCAGTAACATTACGCCAGGATGATTACCCGTCAGATTGTGCTGACTCTCCTCCCGCTGATCCATCAGGTGTTCCGGCTTCGATTCGCTTTTGAGCTCCACGTAGGCCTTAAGCTGGGCAAATGTGCTGAGCTCCTCCAGAGAGGCTTCCCTGGGCGTGTTTACACTACTGTGTTGATGCTGCGGCTTTACAGATGTCGCCAAGGTACTATGCTCCACTGTATCTGTCGCTGCCACTGCCACAGACGCCGCTTTTACCGCATGTTTGGTGCTGTAGGTCATCTTCTTGATGCTCAGCGATGGCTTCTTTTTGTGGCTTTTGGCCGGCGCCTTTGTGTCGCCGTTTATTGCTTCCGCCAGCCGCTTATCAGCCGCTGACTGGCGCTTTTCCGGCTCCGTCTGCAGATTCTGTTGCTGGCTCGAGTCCAAGACGGTAGTATCCGCGTCCGCAACCGAATTCGCGTTAGCATCCGCCACGGTGGCCGTGCCCGGGAGCAGTAAATGCTCGGCATCTACCAGCAGGACATCGCCCTTGTGCATCAGCAGCGGCGTGCCAATTAGATGGCGATCCTTAACGTGCAGCTGCAGTGTGGCATGCTTGTGTGTCGGTATCGGTGTTGCTGTTGCTACTTGACCGGATGTGTCGCTCGTTGGGTATTTTAATAAAGTCCCCTGTGCCTTATCGGCTGGCATTTTGTCAGATTTTTTGCTGGCCAAAATTGTTTGTGGCACTTCAATTGCCGTGGTAGCTGTTGCTACCACTGATGCTGCTGTTGTTTTTGTGGCACCGCTAATGTTCGCTGGCTGGCTGGAATTTATTCCTGTTGTTGCCGTTGCCGCGGTGGCTGTTGCTGCTGGCATTGCCAAAATGGGATCTGTTGTTGTTGCCCCTGTCTGGACCAAACTTGGCAAGCTCTCGGCTGGTCCAGTTGTTGTGTTCTGAGCTAGCATGCCAGGGACTTGTTGTTGCCGCCGTTGCTCTAACGAAGTTGTTTCTGCTGGCCGCAAAGTTTTTGTGGTTAACGGGGAAACGCTGTTGCCTACTGATTGCATTGCTGTTGGGGCAGGCGATGTTGCTGTTGTTGCTGGTTCTGCTGATGTTGCAGGTGTTGCTGTTGCTGATGTTGCTGTGGGGTCTGCTCCCTTTGACTTTTTCACTTTTGGCATAGTTCGCTGAGTTGTTGTCGCTGCTGGTGTTTCTGTTGCCCTGGAAACGCTGCAGCTAGGCGGCCTTGTGTCATTTTCCAGCTTCCTTTCTCCGCACTTGGATCCGCTGAAGTTCTCATAAAAATCGTGGAACTGCAGATACTCTGCCTTGAGGTCCCTCTGCCCACCGTCACCCCTTGACTGAGTAACATCCACTGCTCTGCAGGGACTGGCCCACTCGGCAATGGCCAGCAAATCGCTGCATTTTATGGGATTGTCCTCCAGGAGCAGATCCCTCAGCTGGGGAAGAGTGTGCACTATGGACTGGCTTACACTCTCCACGCCCGAGGATTGTAGGTTGAGGGTGAGCAGCTTGGGCATTGACAAGGCAGGCAGGAAGATCAAGCGGTTGCCTGAGAGATCTAAAGTCTGAAGATTCACCAGGCCAACAAAGGCTTGTGGGGGCAACTCCATAATCTGATTGTGCTGCAAGAACAGGTGCTCCAACGATGGCGGCAGGCTGCTGGGCACGCGCATCAGCAGATTGTGATCCAGGAAGAGGGACGTGAGCAGCTCCAATCGGCCCAGGGCATCGTCCTCCACTTGGGCGATGCGGGAGTGCGAGAGATCCAGGTATTGCAGCAGGGGATAGCTGTCCATGTCACCGCAGTTGATGGCCTGCAAATAGAATATATTATATGTTAGAAAGATTTTATATAATTTTCAATGAAATATTAAAAAAAAAAATATTAGAAAACAAAATACGAAATTTAATTATTGAATGCACAAATTGGCAACGAAAACTTTTAAATCCCTGTCTAGCCACTGACTTTGCCGGCACTCTCAAAGTTATTGTTCTGGGCGAAAGTCTGGCGAAATTTGATTAGTGACTGACAAAGAGGGAAAGTGCGAGTTGCATGCCCGGTCGACATTGTTTAAAAATTAACTTAAATCTGCCATTATAATTACTTCAAAGGACTCGCAGCGCTCGCGCTTGCCCCTTTCTTCAGCGACTGCAATGCCCGGGAGCAATGCTCGTCTAGCGCCAAAGTAAACATAGACGCGACTCGTTAAATGAGAAAGTGCCGGCCTGGCAGCCAGGCAACCGACCAGGAAGCAATCGGCCCAGACAGCCTGCCGTCGTCTCTGTCCTGCGGCACCGAATAAAAGTAATGAGAGTGTGGTGGCCCAGCTGGGAGGAGGATTTGCAGTCAGCCACCAGCAAGCAGCCACCAGCGGCCCCTAAACGCCATAATTTGCCATGAAAAGGCTGCGTGTTGACTGCCGATAAAAGCAGTAGTAGCAGTAGCTCTAGCAAAAGGCAGTTGGCCCTGCCAGGCCCAGCGAACAAATTAAAATGGCTTGGCTTGGCAACAAAGGCGCCCGGGAGCAGTGACGAGCCACTCCAGGAGCTGCGGAAGCGTCTGCCTAGATAGTTGGCTATACACTCAAAAAATGTATGGTAATGAAAGCAAACTAGATATAAGAATTTTTACATTTTCAAAAATTCTAATGTGGTTTTTTAGACAAATTAATGTTAATAATAGTAGCTTTTGCCTTAAAGTTTTTATTAGCTGAAATTGTATAATATGAATTGGGTAAGGAGACTTTTATTCTAAGATGATTCAAATGATTTATCTACACACTAAAAAAGGGAAATCATTATTTCGTGGTAGTAAAAACACCTACACATTTTTAGCCCTGTAATCTTTCCCTTTTAATCGAAAAAGATAAATTAAATTGATGCTTTTTAAAGTGTACTTCTAATTCCAGCTCCTGTCTCAGCTGCACGTTGGCTGTTGGCTTAAACGTGATTATGCTTATGCCAATTACCCTTATTTTATTAATGCCCAGGCCCGGGCTTAAGCTCCGGCTCCATCTTCAGCTCCTGCTTCTGCACTTGCTCCGGCCTGGGGAGCCTTTGTCTCTGGCCCTAAACAGCTTACGAGGCGGCATTTTTGCACCTTTTATGGCTTCCGCCATAATCGACTGAACGACAAAGGCAGCCAAGGTAGCGGCAATTTATGCGCCGCATTTGTTTGTCTACACTTGAAGCCGTTTAAGGATAATGCCAGGATACCTGCGGACCTGGGGCGCTTTATGCTCATAATGCAATCGGGATTGTCTATTTTTGTGCCCTTATAAATCTGTTTGCTCTGCCGCTCTTTGTGTAAGTGTTGGCAATTCGAGGAGCCACGCTAATCTGCAGCTCGTGTTGCTGCTTATGTCAATCAGGCTCACGGGCCCGGGTCCGGGTCCGGCCTCCCCACAACGCAGCTATATTTTTCCATCCTGTTTACCCATCCAGCTCTTCTTTTCCTATTAAGACTCGAGTTGAGCGCCCATTCTATTATTTTCCTTTTGTTTTCCACTCGCATTTGGCTGAAAAGTGAGAAGTGCACTTTGCTATTCCATTGTGTGGCCACATTGTGTCTTAATTACGTTCTTAACTGGACTTGAGTGGCGTGTCCTCTTAGGCGGACTAACAGCTTAACAATGCCTGCAACTGCCACTCAGGAGAATTCTTTCCTAACGGACCTGGATATTCCTCAGACGGCTAAGACTATTATTTGCCGGGGATTATTAGCTATAATATCTTATTTCATTTCGTTTACTTAACTTTAACTTTAATTAGAGTAAAGTTATCAAGGCTAGAGACATTCCTTTTAAATTATTAAGCTTAATCAGCAAAAAACTTTAAAGTTTATTCACCTTTCTTAGGTGCAAAGAGATGGCTGACTACAAAGTTCAAGTACTCTAAAACCACAATTTTTTTTTCCTTCTTCAATTTCCTATATTCTTGTTGAATTTCCTTAAATATTCTTGAATATTTATAGCCATAGACTTGGTCCTACATCATTCAATTACACCTTTTGCCTTGGCATATGATTAAAGGCAGCTGCCTAATTACAAGCAGAGTCTATTTATATCCCTATTGTCAATTTATCCCCCTTGTATTAATATTCATTGAACTCTCCAGATTTGTGGAAACTTTTTGGCCTTGAACCCCCCACGCACAGATTAATATTCATCCCCTCGTGTTTGCTAGCAAAATCGAATGACGAAAGAATCAATAATATAAATTTCCTCTTATGTAATGGCTCCCAATGCTAAAATTAACAGCACATAAAATTTTCCAGCCTCCTGCGAAGGCGGAAGCGAGAGAGAACTCCGGACAAAATGGCGGGGGCGCAAATTTAAAAATAACAAGTGTAAATCATACGCGTGGTGAGATTGCCTTGCGGTTGCTCCGTTGGCTGGTATGCTGACGGCAGGCGGCAGGGGGCTTCGGGGTAAAGTGGGTGTTGGAAAACTGGGGAGGGGAAATTCACGGGGCCAAAGGAAAACGCACTCAAGCACGCAGCGAAGCACAGGCCACATAACAGATGCTAATTAATGGTGGCTGCGGCAAAGGGAGCTGCCATAATGGAGCTGTAGAGGCTGAGTTGGCAACTGCAGATGCAGGATCCGAAGCCAAGGACAAAGATGGCAAGTGTCTGTCGGGAATGTGCCGTTAATTGCCGGCAAAAGCGTCGAATTGCGGTTCATTGGCTCTTACAAGACCCTAAGAGTTGGTAATTTATCGATCACAGTGTGGAATAATTTTAGACCTGTTCCCCTCCATATATTTCACACCTGTCTAAGCTTTAGTTATACTAAGACTATGGATTTTATTAAAAGAACAAATTAAATCAGTTAATTTTATTTATTTCTTTTAATAAAAGCCCAAATCAAAACAAATTTACTAAAATAAATTTAATTATAGCATAGATTTTCGTACTCACCTTCAACCAGTTGTCGGAAAGCTTCAAAGTCCTCACTGATTGAGCCAGGGCTGCCGGCACCTGGCACAAACCAGTGCCGCTGGCATCCAGCTCCTTGAGACTCCAGGAGGCTACGAACTCCTGCATCGCCACGCCCACTTCCGGATTGTAGGCGATCGAGAGGCTGACCAGATCGGGTATACCCTGCAGAGCTCGAATGGCAGAGCCACTCAAGCGATTGTGTGACAAGTCCAGATGCTGGAGATTCGGTAGTGCCAGGAATGTCTCGTAATCGATATCGGAGATGTTGTTGTGACTGAGAATAAGCGTTTGCAACTCCAGTAAATTGTAGAACGATTCCCGGGAAATATTCAGCAATTGGTTGTGGGCCAAGTTGAGATTCTTGAGTTGCGGCAGGCGCTGAACGAAAAAGTTCGTGGAAAGTTGTCGGAATCGATTGCAGGAGAGATCGAGTGTCACCAGAGGTAAAGAGCTACTGGAGTCGGCCAGACTCAGGGGTATAACGCTGAGGGAATTATTGCTCACATCCAGTTGCCACAACTGCTTGAACTTGTCCAGGCTAAGACTGCTCAGTTGATTGTCACTGAGATCCATGGCTGTGATCGCCTGGAGGTCGCCCTTCCACTGACCACCACTGCTGTTGAAGGCTCTCAGATCCCGATGGGTGAGATTCAGCTTGTTTGCCGGGGCATTGAGCCCCAAATCCCTCTTGTGGCGCTTCTGCTGGTATCGCAATTCCCCCCGAAAGCTTGCCGGCTCGTTCTCGTCCCGCAGCATTCGGTGGATGCTGGGGTAGCTCAGACCCACATCCTGCTGGGACAGCTGCTGCTCCTCCCACTCGGCGGCCGAGCGCGAGGACGAGATGGGCATGGGGAGGTCGACCAGCTGGGCATTACCGCCCACCACCACTAGCCTTGTTAGCAATGTCCAGGCCAGGAGTAGGGCCAGGCCTAGATCACAGTGTTGGTTCACGATTTTCACCATTTTCGCCCCACTTTCTGTCGTCGTTATTATTTTTTTTTTTGGTTGGGTTCTTGTATTTTTTGTTGGAATTAATGGGGGTTTTTGGGTTTTTTTTCTGGCTTTTATTTCACTTGGAATTTATGCTCGGTACGTGCGAACGTTTAACGTTCAATTTTGAATATGGCTGCTGGCTCATTCATTTCCTCGTTCACTCGTTCATCCGTTCGTTCGGCGGGCTCTCCTTTTCTGGCGGCGTCACGTGCGCGCCTTTTTGGCCAAACATGTGACAAGTGTCGGCGACAGTCAGAGGCGGATGTTGCCCGAGGGCAATGGCTGCGTTTCCGGTCGGCCGGCCATTGCTCAGGCTGCTTGTTAAAATTTCATGGCGCACCCCCTCCGAGTGCTGAAATGCTGAATTTTTAATTAAATCAACTTGATCATTCTATTCCGGGTCGGTTGTCGGTCGGTTGGTGGCTCGTCTGCTATTGTTTTCCTTTTTTTCAATTCAGCACTCTGCAATTGTTTTACAATTTTAATTGCGCTCCTTTGTGTGTTGGTTTTTTTTGTTCTTGTTGTTGTTTTCGTAGTAATTCCAAGTTTTCTTTGGCGGGCTAATTGCTGTTGAACAAAACGCAACTCAACTCGAGCAAATGTCAATTAAAAAGCGAGCATACCCGCCACTCCTGTTGCTGTTGCTGTTTCGTTTCGCCGTGTTTTTAGCCAACTGTTGTCACATTACAATGCCAAGTGCTCCCCAGTCGTCGCTGTCGTCGTCGTCGTCGCGTGCTTAAAATCTGTAATAAAACGTGAAAAAATTGCTTGTAATTACGCTCTCGTTGGGTGTTGTGTGAATGCAAAATGTGCCAAAGGTAAAACTTGCTTTTCATTCGCTGTCTGTCGGTGCCCTCCCTTTGTCCCAATTTAATTTCTACTTTGGCTTTACGACTTCAAAGCGCCCTGGCAGTTGGCTTTAGTGTTATTTTTATGTTGATTGCAGCTAATGAAATTATAATTTCAACACGATTTTCACCGGACGGGCGGAGAGATGCCCTCCAAAGCCTGTCAGCCGCATGCCACTAAGTCCCGGTAATAAAGCCCAGCCCCCGACATGTGTGTGAGTGTGCGTGTGTTTGCCATAAATCATTTAACTGGGTCATTTCATTTCCGGCGTAGACAAGCGACAGGAAGGCCACTCCGAGCAACCCGACTGTCAACTGACAACCCACAGCAGCTGGCCCCAAAACGACGCAAATTTGATTTACTCATTGCCGGCCTAATGACGCTCGAATGTATGCTATGCTCCCAGGCCCAGCCTCTGCCCCGCCCCCGTCCTTTTCTGTCTTCTTTCTGTACTACTCTCGGGAGTATTTTCGGTTTTTTCTTGCGGGCTTTGGACAACCCAATCCGGATAAATTAATTTGTCAATGTCTAGTTAAAGTCGAGCATGGCATTTTGATAACCCAACAGCCAAGGTATAATAACTTGTTAGGGCAGATTGCAGTGCATTGATGGATGGCTTAGATGGGTGATTGGAAAGTTAATAAATGCTTTTATGATTATACAGTATCTGTGAAGATTAGTTTGTAAAAGACAACTTGAAGACTGTGATTTAAAAGCAAAATATCAATCATTTTATAGTTAGAGTAATAATTTCCCATTACAAAGTTGAAATACTCAACGAGATTTCTTTCTAAAATACCTATAATCTTCACAAAAATTTAATGTATTTATATTTTAAAGATATTTGCATTTTATATTAACGTTCTGATTGATAACTAACATTATTTTAAATAGGTTTCCTATTAGAGAATATTTTCTTTGCCTCTTGAGACATTTTTCCATGGAAAAGCGCAATTTTAAATCATTGATTTCGTCGAATTTAACGCTCAAACTTTCCACAAATTTAAGATGAAAATACAGCCATATATTAGCTTTATTTGTCGATGCTTTCCCTGCCATTACACACAAAAATGTTGAGCCACAGACATACAGAAAAGGCCCTGTGCCTGGTTTACGTTAAATTTATTGACAAATATCATCAAGGAGCTGGCGTTTCATTTCATCTGCTGCCGTTTGCTTACATAACAGTAAAATTTGGGCCATAAGTTTGGCGACATCCTCCCGCAACGCCCCTTCTGAGCCATCGTCCCATTCAGTCAGATATTCAGACAGGCAGATGTACGCAAGTCAATTGACATGAAAGTCGATTTCAAAAACCAACAACAAATAGGGGAAATATCAACAGCAGCAACAACGTGAGCTGTCTGTTTGCTTGGAGAAGATTGACGCAACCCACTACCGCTTCCCGCCGGGGTGTCCTTTTTCAGGAGGGGAAAGAACTCTTCAAGGGGTGGGTGTCCCCTTGTGCTCTGTGTGCTTTGCCTGTCAGTTTATTTTATGCCAGCTTGAAAATAATTTGCAAATTGCTGTGCCATATTTTCGCCGTACTTCTGGACCGTATTTTATGATCAGGCATTAGCGAGGGTTGATTTTCAGGAATTTGTCAGCGACTTTATTGCATATTTATATGACAGTCCTCTTACGTTTCCCTGCTCCCTTGAGATGTCCTTTAAGCTGTGTATTTTCACAGTGCATATTTTTGTTGGTTAATCAAATGCTCAGCACAAAGCAAATAACTTTCAGTGCAACTATACTCAAGGATGGAAATGCCAGGAGTGCACAAAAGCAAAGCAAAAGTGCAGCAAGGAGGAAAAAAAACCTGCACTTGGAGGGCAAAATAAAGTTGGCAACCCGATTTGTGTATGCTCTTTCAGGAAATATTTAAATATTCTCCTAAGAAGCGTTCTTAAAAAAGTTTTCTTTAAGAAGAAAGTTAAGACTGTAAAGCGATAGAAACAATAATTTCAAAAGTAAATTACGATCATTTATAGTTGAATGCAGACCCTTTCCTTTTCCTATATAAATATTCCTTTCACATTGCACTTAGCTTATAAATTGAGCATCTTGCTAAAAAGGGTACAAAAAGCGAGCTGCTTAAATAAAATCCCGGGCGCACTCATGGTGAGCTCCGAAATTGGATTTCGCAACCCCGCTTCTTTTCCCCGAACACCAGCATACATCAGTGATTTATTCTATACGTATTTAGATGGCCCGAACTCGAACCCGCACCCGTATCCGCGCCCTTGCCCTTACCCCTGCCCGAATCCGCATCCGGTTCCAAACATGGCTTTATCAACGGATGCAGATGCAGTTGACAGCAAGGACAGCCATATGGCTATCCCACCCATTCAATTCCACAGCCCATTCCATCCGAGTCCACCATTGCATTTCATTGAGTGCTTGAGACGGCGGCGGGGCTGTGCTTCTGCTTTTTGCTTCAGTGGTGCGCTCAATGGTGCAACAAAACACACACAAAATTGTATCTATGCCCGTCGCGGCTGGCTGCATTTTTTCCGACACGCTGGCGTATACGTAATGCGCTGCACTTACTTCTCCGGCGAGCTCCCTGCTTTATTTGTATGGAAATGTTACTGCTTTGTGCGCCCGGCTTTTCTTTGCTCAGCACGAACGGCATGTTTATTGTTTAAGTGCGCTTCCTGTGCTTTTTTCATGCATTTTTCTCTGCGCTTTCCTTCTCTCTATCCCTTTGCGTCCTTCGTTTGGTGTAGTTTTAATAAACTTCCGCTTTGCCCTTAACATCATAGAGTTCGCCTTGTGTGAGCTTTCGATGCTGGCGTGGCAGGTCACTCAGGAAAAAAATAGTTTATTTTAGCAAGAGTAAAATTAGAAAGAATTTTACTTTATATTGTAGAAAAGCCATCCATTAATTAACTTTTTTACAGCTTTTTTTTAGAGCTTTTCTAACTTTAAAGATATATCATTGTAAGAGAACATTTCCTTTAAAAGTTTGCCTTGTTCTAGTCAGTTGGCTTTCTGGCAGTGTAAATTCCCGGGGACAGCGTTTGTGCCATCCTGGTGAATCCTGCAAGCCAGCATCTGAGCATCTGTGTCAATGTCAGGCACGTGCGGGCACGCGGATATGCATGTGGGACTTAAACTGCTTGGAGGTTCTCTGGCATCTTTAAGCAAAATGTCCAACACTTGGCGAACAATTTGCCACGACACTTGGTCGATTTTCAGCCATCGATTTGCTTTTATTTGCTGCGCATAAAAGTTTTCAAATTAAAGTTTATTTCTGGCTTTCGACTGTCAGGCTGAACGAGCTGGCAATTTGGCAGACAGGCAGCAGCAGTAGCAGCCGAGACTGACTGAGATATTGGATGGAGATGAATGGAGAGAGGGAACCGGAAAATATTGGTCTTGGCGGAAAAAAACCATATCGATAACGAAAAGCCGTGGAAACGGCTGAGGCGAAGACCCCAGGCCCACTCGAAGGTGCTCAGATTGAGCCTCCAAATTGGTTTCCTTTCGTGTTTCACCAAAAAGTTTGAGTGGGCTTTTTATGAGCATTTACTGGGATTGGCTGGCCAGGTTCGCGAATGTTTCTTTTTCATGTCTTTAAATTTGTAAATGTCCAAGTAACAAGGGTTTTATGTTTTTTTTTAATAAATAATATATAAACAATTTAGTCATTTATGATTTTTAATATTTTATCTATTTATTTAAAGTCTATCAAACCCAGCAGATAGGCCTTGCAAGTTTCTTTTAAAGCTAGAATTAAAGCAAAAAAATACGTAAACGACTTTTTTGTAATCTAACTTTATCCTTGGGCCATTAATAAATGCGGCCTACCAAGCATCAAAGTTTCAAATATAAGTATAAGGCTTTCATATCAACGGGATCTGTCATTCCCATCAGCGGGAGATTTTCCGGAGGCACATGTCATTGACTTCCACTCGTATTTTGCCGCCATGTTGTTCTCTTTATTAATGCCCTGCGGTAAAAAGGGACCACTCACACTCGTATTTCCCATTTCCCGCCCACCCAACACCCAACACCCAAGCAACCAAAAACACATAAGTAAAATCTATAATAAACTTGTTCTTGTTGTTGTTGTTGTCAGTGGGTGAGTGTGTGGGGCTTTTATTGTTTTATTTGTGTGCGTCTTGCCAGGCAAGTTTTTTGTTTTCCTTTTTATTTATTCTTTTTGGTAGTTTTCCGTCTGCTTTTATTTGTTAAATTGTGTTGTGAAAAATCGCTGAAGGCTCAGGGCCGCCACAACAGAGCCGGGCCCCTTGTGTATGTTTATTTGGTTGCTTTTCGTTCCGTTTCTTTCTATTTTGATGCGCAGTACTTGTATATAACTAGGGTATATATTTTGGGCTTTAAAAAAAACTTTAACAGGGGTATATATATTTTTTTGATTACCCTTAAAGATACCTCATAGATTAACAACTTGTAACTAAATCCCTAAAATGTTCTAGGCAAGTTTTTATTGTTATATCTTATGGATAAGACATCCTTATAGGTGTTTTTCTTTATTTGAAATGAATTACCGGGTATTTTTATAGTCGTTTCCATGGGTCCATCGCGGTCTCTCCCGTTATTTATATATATTTTTTTTAGGTTTTGGCCGTTTGTGTGCTTGACTTCGTCTTGGGCTTTATTTTGGTAGCCCAATTTCGGTTTTGCTCGCAGCAGCTTATCTGGCCAGGGACCTTGAATGCGGCAGAACCGCTCACCAAACAATTCTTTTTAACAAAAAAAAAAGAAGAACGTTGACTCAGTTGGGATTGGCAATGGGGCTGCACTCATTTTTATTATCTAACTCATATTCTTAACCCCTTTGTCGTTGCTTAGTTTGGTTGCGGCAAAGCTTTTTATGAAATTGAAAAACTTTTTCAATAAATGCGCATAAATTGTTGACCCCAAC